TGAAAAATATGAGTTATAAGGAATTATTATTACTATTATCAGTTTGAATTATTACTTCAGTTATTTCCGTTAATCCAAATAGGTAGAAAATTTAACCGATGAATCAGGAAGAAATGTGTATGATCTTAAGTTTAATGTGCTGCTGCATTAAAATGGCTGCAATAGCTGTTAATTGCCATGCTTCAAAATGGAGTTCTTCTGTAATTGAAACATTTCGAAATTCTGAACACTATATTTTCTCCTGTATCTATATTCCATTAAACAAACGAACTTAAAAGAACATGATCAATTTTTTGTTAGACTTTTTTTAAGACATCTACAGTGTATGTATTTATATTATAGTTGAAGTTAAAGTTCAATGGCTTTTTTACTTCTACTTTCACCATTATCAAAGTGTCAAGTTTAGTATTAAGTAATAGTTCACCTCAAACAATAATTCAGAGGTAAGAAAAATAAATTTTATTATATATAATAACTTCATAATGTAAATCATTATTCATAATTGTGATAAAAGTACAGAAGTTGGCAAATGGTAACTAATGAAAAATGCCATTTTACATTGTTTATTTAACTAAATTTATTAATAAATTAAATAATATATAAATTATGTATAATAAAGTGCTTTCGATATGTTAAAACGTTCTCGTGAATCATTTACGTGTTATATATTTATAAAAACAAAATTACAAAATAATATTTTCTTTACACTTTTAAAATTAAAATTTAATATTTATGATAAAATTAAAATTTAAATACTTTTTTCGTAATTATTGGAAACTAAATAGTCAAGGAAACGACTTTCCATCGTGAGAAACGTCCCAAGCCTGCCATTTTGAGGATTCCCAACAAGCTTCCACGCCGCCATTATTCTTCCGAAAACTTTTCTATTGGCCGTCTAATTCGCTACTCGCTCCACAAACTCCATCCACGCGATTATGCAAATCGGCCTTAACCCGCACCGCGGCATTGTCTTGTTCCCGATTTAAAACGCCGTTAGAACGCTCCACGGGTGCTATGCAGTCTTCCACTTCCGGCCACCCTCCCTCCAGACCTGTGGAGACGTCACTTGGCACGTCCTAACATTTGGGTTCCTTCGTGATCGAAAAAGTTTCATCCACCGGTTACGCGAATCGACGTCCAGCTGGCTGTTTTATGGACCCTAGGAACGGTGAATCGATTCCGATGCACGTCCCTGTCGTTTATTCTGACGTTGGATCTCTTCATCGACTGTCCCTTCAAACTTGGAAGTAATCTTCAGAAGTTACAATTCCAAAAATTGTCGAGTTCTCATATATCGTATTCGTTTGAGTGTGAATTTTTTCAATTTGATATTATTAACCCTGTAATTTCAATTTAGCAGAAATTTTGTAAAAATTGTCGAGCTCTCATATATCGTATTGGTTTGTGTGTGAATTTTTTCAATTTGATATTATTATTAACCCTAAATTTCAATTTTGTAGAAATTTTATATTCGTTTTATATCGATTATATAGATTTTCATTTCTTAGTTCTTACTATTGTCTGGATCTCTTCATCGACTATTTCTTCGGGCTTGTAAGTAAACTTCAGAAGTTACAATTCCAAAAATTGTCGAGCTCTCATATATCGTATTGGTTTGTTTCTGAATTTTTTCAATTTAATATCATTAACCCTGTAATTTGAATTTTGTAGAAATGTTATATTTATTCCTGTTAACTGTGGAAATTTATATTGATTATATAAATTTTCATTTTTTAGTTATTGTATGGATCTTTTCATCAAAGAGTGTCCTTTAAGCTGGGAACTCAAAAAATCGTCGACTTCTCTTAGTCACCCAAATATGAACACTAAAACACTTAACGAATCGTTGAATTATGATCGACATTATTTCCTACGATCTTTATACTATCTAAAACATTACATTTTATTATGTCACTAGTTCAAATATTACAATTACAGTCTTTTCATTAGTACCTTGTTTTTCTTTTCGCTATCAAGAAAATCGTCGTTTTTACTCTTCCAAATACCCAAAATATTTTGATCATTTTACAAAAATTAATGGAAAAAGGGAATAAAGCGCCGCTCTCTCTATCATATAAATTACAATTTTAATTACATGCAGAATTTTCTTTATGTATAACTTCACAACGTTTATTTCTTATTCTAAATAAAACAGTCTAGGGTGACAATAATCCAGTAGGAGGCAGTAAATGGGTTTTTTTTATCCTAGTCGTAATAACCCGGGTGTTCAGCCGCATTACCGCGGGTGGCTAAACGTTCCGCAGTTCGTTTTTTGTTTTTTTTCTATTCACGGGAAAACCGATGGAAACTGATTACTCGGGGAGAAAACACGACGGGAAATCAATAGCGCGCGCGGAGGCCGATGCGTATAACGGCCCCGGTTCTCGTATCCATCGACTTCGAGTCTTTTGACGTTTCAGAGACGACAGGGTTGCCGCGCTCGGATATCCAGGACAAGAGGAAATCGCTTTCATTCCCAGGGAACACCGGGGGCGTGTACCGTATTTCCTCCGTGGCGTAAACCCGGGCCTCCTCGATAATCGAGGACCTTGATTGAAAGGGGTGCAGATCCATTTCTATCAGCTTTTTGCTTATGACTTGTAATATTCGTAAAAAAAAATCTACAGACTCCTCTCGATTATTGTCCGCCTTGTTCTACACGATTATTGTCCAGGCGTTATCCCCATCACTGGGGGGGGGGGCATGGAATAATAAGGTGGTGAGTTATTTGAGATATTAATTCTTATTGACTCACCCTATGTATCATTAAAGACTACAACATATCCATGTGAGAACAAAAATCCGAAATGTTACTCCCAAAAAGTGTTCGATTTCGCGTGGAATGACCCAGTTGCAACGTGTTCCATACGACGAATACAGACTACTCTCGATTATTGTCTCGGGCTTGTTCTACACGATTATTGTCGCGGCTTTATCCCCACTACTGGAGAGAGCATGGAATATGTCAAACGCATACTAATTCATTGTAACGTTTTCTGATACAATTGATAGGTGACGAGTTATTTTAGATATTTGTTCTTATTGACTCACCCTATGTGTCATTAAAGGCTACAGCATATCCAAGTGACAACAAAATCTGGAATGTTGCTCCCAAATAGTGTTCGATTTCGCGTCGAATGACCCAGGTGCAACGTGTTCCATACGAAAAATACAGATTCCTCTCGATTATTGTCCACCTGGTTCTACACGATTATTGTCCAGGCGTTATCCCCACTAGTAAATATAGTACTACCCATGTAGTAAATAAAGAATACAGATGTCATGAAGTTTGTGAAGTGGAATAAAGAAAAGACTGTATACAGGTCGATTTACAAATAGTACGACAGTAAATCGCAGTTTTTGTGTTACTGAAAATGATCTATTATACATAATTATGTGTCCAATTTTGAATTTGTTAACTATTATATTATACATAATAATGTATCCAATTTTAAATTCGTTAATTATTATATTGTCCTGACTACTGTCTATTCTTATTTCACGTTGCAAATGTTATTTGTTCCACAGAATTCCTAAGACGAAATTAATTTCATTTCATTGTAGATGGAAAACAGGGCTACCATTAATTTCTAAGCGACACGTTTCATAAACCCTTCTCTCGCACGCTGTCACCCTCGAGGGAAACTGCAGGATTTAATATCCAGCATGCTTTTAGCGACGAAAGAGTTGATTTGCAACCCTCTGTACGTCGTCGCTCGAGATATTTTTTTTTCATTAGTAAAACCTCGAGAGAGCCCATAAATCGATGTTAAGAAAATATTTGTAATTACCGATACAATGTCGTTGTCTCTGGTATCGTCGCTTGGGATCGTAGTGTATCAAAAATGCGAGACAGTGTCATTATTAATTAATATGTATCGTTCAGAGACACAAGAGAGAATGGAACAGATGAAAGCAATTGTAATTACAGTAATTGCAACTGCTGTACCCTTGCTTATAGATATTTGTATTCCTTCCTCAAATAATTCTATTTTAATATTCATTATACAATAAAGTATAATATTGTGGACTATTGATATTTACTTAATTTTTAGTTATTATAATATTATAGTCAAGTACGTATTAATATACTTCAAAAATTCAAAATGACGTCAAACCATAAGAAATTCCTCTTACTTAACTAGGATGTTAGACTACATAGATATTTGTATTTCTTCCTCAAATAATTCTATTTTAATATTCATTATACGATAAAGTATAATATTGTGGAGTATTGATATTTACTTAATTTTTAGTTATTATAATATTATAGTCAAGTACATATTAATATACTTAAAAAATTCAAAATGACGTCAAACCATAAGAAACTCCTCTTACTTAACTAGGATATTACACTAGATATTTGTATTCCTTCCTCAAATAATTCTATTTTAATATTCATTATACGATAAAACATAATATTGTTCAGTATTGATATTTACTTAACTTTTAGTTATTATAATACTAGAGTCAAGTACACATTAATATACTTAAAAAATCCAAAATGGCGTCAAACCATAAGAAATTCGTCTTATCGTTAGAATTACCGACAATAAACATACATTTATTTCTGTCAGATCGATAAACGTGACAAACCTTTGAAAATATACAAATTTGTACATTTAATAAAATATACATATTTGTAAATTTCTTCATTTTCATATTACAGTAAAAGTCGTGAAAATGCATTGTTGTAACATTTTAAATCATCGTTATAACAATGTATACTAACCAGGTATTTTGACTACTTCGGTAGGTCTAGTGTCTGTACACGTTCCAAAGTATTAGAGAATCTACAATTACAATAATTAAAAATAGAAGAAATGAATGTTTCCATTGATCCATTGTAATGTACATACATACGAAAAGAATTAAAAAAAAATTTGAAAGGATACCACAGATACCATTATACAGTCTTAAATCATCGATGAAAGCAATTTTGTTGTAATGCTCCAATATTTTCCGTCGCATTAATTGAATTTATTCTCTTCTTGTTGCAGGAGCAAACCAAAGACATTCGCGTTCGACCATTGTTTCCACTCTCTGGACCCGACCGCGGAGAATTTCGCGAGTCAGGAGGTCGTATTCGACGCCCTGGGCCGCGACATTTTGGACAATGCGTTCCAGGGCTACAACGCCTGCATTTTCGCTTACGGACAAACCGGTGAGTGTTACAAAAAAAATATAACTTTACAATGCTGTTAAGAAAACGACAAAACGCGAAAACGTTAAAGGCTGATTTCACCCTTATCGGAGTGATTTTTGACAGGAACAAGTTGCATACATTAACACTAAAACTACCAACAATAAACTAGGACCCATAGAGGTTTATTGTCTAGTTTTAAGTCTCACGAATAGAATCCCGTTGGAATTTTTACTTAATTTCTTACAGGACGTTTGCAAAGTGTCGCACCGATTAAAACGTGGCTTTTTGGAAGACCGCCCTCTACAGCGATCGTGGTTAACTAAAAATGCTAGAAAAAATTTCTTTATGTTCTTAATAATATATATAATAGCGTACAAAAGAAATTATGTTTCTAAATATAATAGTTTTTTTTTATAAAAAAATATTAAGAAAGTGTCGTTTTTCTGCAATTTTGAATGAGAAAGTCCCTTTAAAAGAATAAATGTAATGTCCAAGTGACACCGAACAAAAGTTGCAATCAGAATCGCAACGATGCGTAGAACCATGCGGAAACAGGTGACACAAAAGGACAATTTCAATGGTGTACACGAGAATTCGACCTTGGTGTATTACCTACCGCGACCTTCCGGGTACAGCCACACCCGGTGTAATTCGCGGCTGATTAAACTCCCTTCACGCGGAACGCTTCCACGTGCTTCGATCAGTGTCCCGTTTCATTTGCATTGTATCGCCGTCTCGGGTTACGGATTCGTCACCTCGTCGTCGTTCTGGCCGTTGTTCGTGCGGTTTTTAAGCCGCCCTTCCACCAACGGATTATCATTACCGAGTGGTCACGAGATTATCCCGTCGCCTTATCGACATCGGAATATAATTACAGTAATGCAGGCTATATACAGTGAGGTTTGCCTCGAGGCCTGGTCTCATGAGGTCGTTTTACGTTAGCAGGTCTTACACGGTGAGGTTTACGTCGAGGCCTGGCCTCGTGAGGTCGTCTCACGTTAGGGGAGCTGGGTCTCTTGAAGCCTCCTGATATTATACAGGGTGTCCCAAAGTAGCTTCGACTCTTGGAAATGAGGGGTTCCTGGAGTGATTTGATTCAACATTTTTCTGAGCGAAAATGTTATCCGAGACTTTGTTAACGAGATGTTAAAAATATAATCTCGGTCCGCAGACTCGCGCTATGATTAGTCGAGGTTTTTTTTGTTAATTTTATTATGATTTAAATGTTTATTTATGATACAGATAAATGAGATTTAAAGTCTAGTCATCATGTAATATCGGCCAGAAATTTTGGATTTTGATTACGAAGAAAATAAGGTGCACAAAGGTTGAGTTCATAAAAAATAGTGACATAAAGTGGTGCTTGCAGGATGTATCAGTACTTTCAACACTTTGCAGAAGAGGTACACAATTCATTCCGTGGTTTAAGAAAAACGACGTCAATTAAAGGTTAACTGGAAGCACCGAAACGTAAGGTTTAAGGGATGGAGAAAATAACGACGTCAATTAGGAGCCAAGAATAATAACGTTGTGGACCGTGATAACTGAAATTTCTTATAATGCCCTGGGCTGTAATTTAAAGGCCTCAGTCGCGAGACAGGGGTGCGGCAGTGGAAAGGTTAAGGGTTAATTGTGTCTGAGAAAAGAACAATGTTGGCTCCATGTAGTCGGGACAAATAACGGGGAAAACGGTGATAAGGAAAATTTACGTAATACTGTGAACGATAATATCGAGATTTACGTTGGAAAGAAGTCCGACTATCGAGGATTCCGAAATATATTTGAAATTTGTGTAATTAAAATCCACAAAGATTATTAGGGAAATTATAAAGTTAAGCACAAATGGAGTGCTTTGGTACGAAAATGTGAAAAATATTCAAAAAGTCGGAATTACCATATTCAGAGCTGTAAAATACAATTTTTGTACAGGAAGATCGAGAAACTGGATCTTAAAAGAGAAAACCGAATCAAAATCTGAACACAGATCAAAGAACCCACAAAGGAAGTTATTATAATTTATTACCCATGATCTATGTTTAATCCTGTCAGTATTTAGATTCGTTCTCTGAAGAATCACATCGTATTTATAAATCACCCAGTATATCTTCTACATTTCATTTTTATCAATTGTTGCAAAATATCGTCGTTCCAAAATCTGTATTCCCCAGATCCACATTCACGCAATTTATCCCCTCAACCCTCTACTGTCCAAATTAATTTTCAGTGTTCAAAATCCTTTTTACCTGTACAGGGTATCCCCAAATACAGTGATTTCTCGATGAATGCAACACGAGCAACGATAGGGGGTCCCCCGCTGGAATAAATCAAAACAGAATAAAATGAAGGTAAGCTAGAGACTCGGTTTCGGGTAAAAAACAAATTTATAAGGGTCTAAACACCTTTCCGCCTTGCTATCAATGCTTCAAAGCGAACCCGAATACGTCGCATTCATCGAGATATTACTGTAGTTGTAAGTCCTTGAAAGGGATAATTCCTGGGGTAATTTGAAAGAATTGTTTCCTTAGCAAAGTTGGTTACAAATCACCCTTTTCAAGGACTTACACTTATTTTGGGACATCCTGTATTAATGAAATGATCTATTATCTATTTACCTATTTTGGGACACTAAATACACTATTACACCTTTCAAGGACTTACACTTATTTTGGGACATCCCGTATTAATGAAATGATCTATTATCTGTTTACCTATTTTGGGACACTAAATACACTATTCTTACACCTTTCAAGAACTTACACATATTTTGGGACATCCTGTATTAATAAGATGATCTATTATCTATTTACCTATTTTGGGACATTAAATATACTATTCTTACACCTTTCAAGGACTTACACTTATTTTGGAACATCCTGTATTAATGAGATGATCTGTTATCTATTTACCTATTTTGGGACATTAAATATACTATTCTTACACCTTTCAAGGACTTACACTTATTTTGGAACATCCTGTAGTAATCAGATGATCTATTATATATTATCTATTTACCTATTTTGGGACACTAAATACACTATTCTGACATTTCGTCGGTGTTTACAAGGGGACATTGACCGAAGTGTCGCCTCGTGTCTATTGCCACGTCTGGCTGCTTGTCGTCAACGAGGGGAGGGGGTTGATTCTGTAAGGGGTGGACAGAGGAACGAGAAGAAAGAATCAGATTATGCACTTTTAGAGACTCTTGCATCTTCTCGGTGTACACTTAGCTGCTCGCTTGGCATCGACGAGTCGGATTTAACCTTTCGTTCCGTCATCCTCTCAAGTGCTTAGACCGATGTCGTACGAGGTAATGGATAAGAACGGAAAGCTTGTTAGGGGGTTTGAGGAAGCGAAGCCTACAGTCGATTGAGGGTTAACCATTCACGGTATATTGTTTAAATAGAGGCGATATCGGTAGTTTGCTGCAATTACAACACAAAATTGGCCAAATTTTATTTCGAATAACGAATAAAGTCCCAGGATTTATTTGCGAATAATGACTAACAATTTTATTCGATGAAAAATTATTCTTCCGTCATGAGTAAGTCTGTTGCATTATTCGTTATTCCAAATAATTCTGCGACGAATAATGCCTATTGATAAGAAGATGAAGAACAATTATACTGATTCTTATAGATTTTTTTGTGCTGAATACGAATTTGTAAACAATTTTTTGTCATCACCCTCAGTTTCCGAGAATTTTTATTTAAACAAAAAAATTCATATTTTTAACTTTGAACATTTCCTGTGTTCAAACATTAATAGTTATTCAGTTCACTGTCAGCTTCGCCGGTTTTATTAAACTATTTCGCTCTTGTATTGAACACAAAACGAGTCTTACAAATTCTGTTAATGCTTTCTGGAAGGAAAATGTTTACTGCATCTGCTGACGAAGTCAGATTATGTCCTGCACCCTTACTTTTTGAAATACATTGATAAATATCTGTACAAATTAGTGCATTATGGGTGTCCCTTTGCCTTTGATCGTTGTTTAAACATGTTTAAATGTTGATAATGCGATAACAACGTATACAATTTAATCGGGAGAGTTTACAGAATAATTTGACGCAACAATTAATTGAATAACTATTAATTTTTGAATACAGGAAATGTTTAAAGTTGAAAATTTGCATTTTTTTTTAAATCAAATTTCTCGGAAACTGGGAGTGATGGCAAAAAACTATTTACGGATTCGTATTCAGCATAGAAGAATCTACAAGAATCAGCAACTGGATGTTCGAAGACAAAGAAAAAGTTCAATTTTGTTGACCAGTGTTGACTTCGTTATCTCTACGTGTTCATTATTAACCTTTCATTCTGACATGGAAATAGTTATTTACTCTTATTAAGAATCTCTTTGCATTTACGTTTACTTACTTAAGAAGATTATACTTTACTTCACTTGACAAAAATTGTTTTAATTAGATATAAGAATGACGTGAACTAAATTTCCTTAAAATAATAACTAAAATGGCAAGTCCACTGATTCGATCGGAAATCATTTTCAATTGACACTACGTTAATTTATCTAACGAAGTCGATCAATTTGTCTCTGAATTACTTTTCTACCTTCTCGACTTTCCTAACTCCGAAGAATCCAACGCAATCATACCATAACTACCAAAAACAAGGAAGAAGCAAACCCTCATAATAATCCACCCCTCTAAAAGGTCCGCCTCGTGGCCAAGTTATTATAATTACTTCCGAGCGCGGAATTACCTCCAAAAATCAAGGCACCAACTATAAACATTCTCCCAAAATAGAGAGAACGCCTCTTATCGTAACAACCGTGCTCGTTAAACCCTCCAATTTCCCACCCCCCGAAAACCCTCTTCGCTTCAATGACTCCAACTTCCCCCTGATAAGGGAAGTGCTGTGGCTAGCCGGTGGTTTCCTGTTATTTTCCCCGGATCAACCATTTCCTCCTTCGTTAAGGAGACATATACATCTAGGACGACCAATAAAGGTCGATTTTTATAATTTTTTCAAGGAGAAAGTAGAAAGAGTTTGTTCAAGGAGAAAGAGTTTTTTTTATTGCTTGCCATTTTCTATTGTAACGTCTGGATGTTTATGCATTTACAGTCAATTTTAATGTACAAAATGCAGTAAAATAAAGTCTTTAACAAAACTTAATGATATTTCTATATTATTATGAGTGTAATAAGACATCTAGTACAGGAAACATATTTTTATCTCATTTTCATATTTATAAATTAATGTTTAAAATTGTGAATTTGGATAAACATCCGCAGTCTAGTAATGACAATATTTTAAACAATTTTTAGAAATATTTATGCAAGAAAATAACGTGTTATTACAGCCAGGTTAACAAGATTTGTGGGGTCCATTGGCATTTTCGCAGGGTTTATCCGAAACATGAACGGTGATCATTTCCTTAAAATATACGAGTAAATCTAGTCCTCAACGTAACCGTTTTTGAATATGAATCTTAGTATTTTTTCGTTTATAGCCAAAAATCGAGTGGTTTTTTAACGAAAAATCAGTGTCTTAACTTTAAACAGACACCATTTTGTTAGAAATCAATTTATCAAAAAACGAGTACATTAAAGACTAGATTTACTCGTATATTTTAAAGAAATTATCATCGTTTACGTTTCAGGAGAACCCCGTGGAAATGTTGATTGGCACTGTGAACCAGTGATGGGCAATTCAGCGCCAGCGAAACTCACTGGCGGGCAATGTTGAATTATTACTGCGTCAAAGCAAAAATTATCCTACATTCTAGGAAATCTGACTCTGGACAAAGATACTGGAAAGATTGCTGAATTATAAATATATAAAAGTATATTCAAGAAAGTAAAGGTTTTACAAATGTTAATGTAAATTGTGGTCACGGAGGCTAATTCCAACGTTCTCGGTTTTCACGCACTGAGAAATGCAGGGGCCTGTTGTACAGAGTTTCGCTTACCTTTAAAAATGCTTGAAAAGAACTTTAATACCTGATCTCACTAACTAGACTTCTGGTATGAGTATGACCCCCGGATGAGCTGTACGCGCCCCTTTTTATACCCCGAAAATCGAGTCTAAAAGTAGTGGGGGCATGTTCCTCAATGGAAACTGCTTTCGAAGAAAATCTGGCCACGCCATGACACCCCGTGGGCAATTACATAGTCTGGTCGGATGTATTCCAACTTACGATAGGGTTAAGAGGTCACGAGAGTGTCTTCGTACGTAACAGCAGTATTTGATGCTATTCTCTAAAGTATTAAATGACTTATGGCGAATTGGTGCATTAAAAAATGTATAATTCGATTTAAAAAACTAAAGTTGATCTTCACATGACCTCAACGCGTCTCCATAGAGAAAAGTTACATCAGAAAGTGTGCCCCCTGATACCATTTTATTTTTGTCTGGAACAATTTCTTGATATCGTCAACAATTTCGGAGATATTTAAGTGGGTCGATTTAAATGGGACACCCTGAGTGTAACAAAAATCTTGTCCGACCCGGAAATGGGGCACTCGGGGGGTGAATTGGAACAAGTTTTTCCTTAGCAACAATGTAATCTTGGTCGGACAACATTTTTGTTACACCCTGTATATGTTCTTATTTTCTCTTTCTTTTCCCTTAATTTCTTTCTTTCTTCTTTTTAATTTTAATCTTAATTATAATTAACTATAATTTTATTATAATATGTTCTTTCTATTATTTGAATGTATATTGCACGAATTTACGGTCGTTGCCATAAATTATTATTGTTATAGTATGTGCCTTAATCGGGATATCTCGATGGATTTTTTTGTTCGTAGGGTCCGGGAAATCGTACACGATGATGGGTAGCGGGGAGAACAAGGGCATAATACCGCGGCTGTGCGACAATCTGTTCGACATGATCGCGAAACGGCAGAGCTCGGAGCTCACCTACAAGGTGGAGGTCTCGTACATGGAGATCTACAACGAGAAGGTGCACGACCTGCTGGACCCGAAGCCTAACAAACAGTCGCTAAAAGTCAGGGAGCACAATGTCCTCGGGCCCTACGTGGACGGGCTCAGTCAGCTCGCTGTCACGTCGTTTCAGGTAATTCAGAAGTACACATTAGAATCTTTAATTACGGCAATAACACTGTTAAACATATGGTAACTTTTTTTTTTTTATGAATTGTGTACATTCAGTAGGCGTTTTTTTAGAGGTCTGCATGAGCTGAATATGAATTTGCAAACTGTTTGTTTTTACAGAATATACAGTTTTTAGAAAAATTATTTTGGAACAAATATTGAAAATTTTCTTACCTGTGGAGAGGTTTTGTGCTTTTACAGTAATAGTTATGCAGGTGCTTTTGACACGAAGTAATTCTGCGGACTTTCCTGAACAAAGTAATGTAAATTGTTAATGTATTATAAACATCTAAGTATGTTTAAATAATGATCAAAAGGACACCCGAAAGACACCAATTTTTACTGATAGATTCCAATTTATTTCAAAATTTTTGCGGTTTGCAGATTTGTAATGTATAGATCAGTGTTGGGCAAAATGTAATCTAATTACAAAGTCCAAATTACAATTACAATGTAAATATAAGACAATTACAATTACATTGTAATTAACTATACTAAATTTACAATAAAAATTGCACTGTAATTGTAATTTAGATTTTGTAATTAGATTACATTTTGCCCAACTCTGATATAGATCTGTAAGAAACGCCTATTTAAGGTTATAAAATCGAAAAAGAAAAGTAAATAATTTCGATGACAAAGCGTGATCTAATGGGGAGATTAGTGTGACAGTTTTGTTCGTTGGTTTTCAACGAGCAACAATGTGTCCGATGCGTCTTTAGATTCTAGAGAGAGAAGACTATAATTGCGTGTTGAACACACGAAGCACACCGGTTCTCCTGTATTTATCACTTGCTTTGACCGGTGACTGGCGCGGTTCCAAAGTGAAACCGTTATGATCAATATCTGTCGTTGCAGTGCTTCATCAATTTAATCTCCGTTGGGATACAGTCTGGGAGTTGTGACTATATGTATATCGAGAAGAAATAATATTCAATTCTTTAGTATTTTTAGGTTTTCAGTAGAAACATTTTACATTTTGAAAAACAGCTTTCTCTGATATTGGTGGGATTATTCTTCGAGTAACTAGATAATTATTTAACCACAATCGAGAATCAAGTCTTCGAGTGACCAGATATTTATTTAGCCAAAATCAAGATTTAATTCATCAAGTAACCAGATAATTATTTAACTAAAATCGAGATTCAAGTCTTCGAGTGACCAGATATTTATTTAACCTAAATCAAGATTTAATTCATTATGCAACCAGATAATTATTTAACTAAAATCAAGATTTAATTCGTCAAGTAACCAGGTAATTATTTAACTAAAATCAAGATTCAATTCTTCGATTAACTAGATAATTATTATATAACCAAAATCGAGATTAAACTTTTCGTTGATTCTAACTTTTCCTGGACTATGTAATTTATATAATTCAATTTTTTGTAATACATTTCTCTGATTTCTTAATTTAATTTAATTTTTTCTCACACGGACAGAACAACTGTTCGATCAATAAGATAGTTAATTTTGTAACATTAATATGTGGAATATAATGTTTAATATATCATATAATAAATAAAAATATTGATAAAAGTATTCTCTTCATTCTTAACGTTTATACAGTAGCGGACAAAGAAGTTACCACTTTTCTGATTTTTTGTATTTGTGTTATTTCTAAATATCTCCCATAATATACTGGGTGTTATACAATTTTTAATTCTGTACCAGAATATCCATTAAACACATATCGAATTTTTAAGTTGACGTTAAAAAATAAAAAAGACAAAACAAATCAAAAAGATGGTAACTCTTTTGTCCGCTACTGTAAGTTATCTTCTTCGAATACCGATTATATTGACTTCAACGAGACAATTTATTTAATAAGTATCGACGCTCAAATTCTTTGTCCATTTCGATCGTTACCGTTAGAAATTAGGTTCATGCCTGACATCGATCGGATTGCTCCACGAGTATTTCAGCTCGGGCTGAAACAGCCGCGGCAAATTGATTGAACCGTCACGATCGCGATTGATCGAAATTAAACGGCTTCTACCGATCGTTCCGCCGCGGTGCGATCATTAAACGGACGGAGGTAATGATACACGATCCTTTCAGAAAGTAAAATCAGGTCGTTTTACATACGGCGGAGGTCAGTGGCTGCCTCTTTTATGCAACAAACACGTTTCGTGCATACCAGCAACACGTGATAACTCTCAATTTGCTCTGTCTATGATATATAGACACAGATACTAACATCATGTTCTTTCGTATACTATCTTTACTAAACGTTTTTTCGTCTTCTTATCTTCTATCTCGAACAACGAACTGCTTGATCCTTTATCTACCACTGAAAGTACTCGATTTTATTGAACTTATTACGAATTATTAATATACTGCGGATTTTTATGCAAAATGACCGGTTTTAAAGTAATTTGTAAAGATAAGAGCAAATATAGGAATTTTTTTCTTCTCTTAACCCTTGACACTAGTAATTCTTTTGATATTTTGTTTTCAATAATTCCCTATTCTTTTGGGTGTTTTATTTTAAATGTACTTCAGAAGATAGTTGGTTGATGGGAACCAATTTAAACAAATATTGAAATTGATGTCGCGTCACACTTGATTCTTTATCTACCATTGAAAGTACTCGATTTTATTGAACTTATTACGAATTATTAATATACTGCGGATTTTTATGCAAAATGACCGGTTTTAAAGTAATTTGTAAAGATAAGAGCAAATATAGGAATTTTTTTCTTCTCTTAACCCTTGACACTAGTAATTCTTTTGATATTTTGTTTTCAATAATTCCCTATTCTTTTGGGTGTTTTATTTTAAATGTACTTCAGAAGATAGTTGGTTGATGGGAAGCAATTTAAACAAATATTTTTCAGCATTTTTAATAGCATTGGAACTTTGCTAAAAGTGTCAAGTATGACTCAACATGAGAGTACATGTGAATAAAATTGACATCGAGTCACAGTTGACAGAAGAATTCAAAGGGTTAAATGTCTATTTAGGTTTAGAATTTTTAAATTAGTTAGAATTATTATTCTAAATTACATTAATTTCTATTTTTAGAAAACTAGTTGTATCCGATGAAAGCTTATCTTTTATTGTACTTCACAAAGCCCTATAAACTATAAATGTATCAATTCCTCAGTCTAATTAATAATATCCCAAAAATTTCAAAAAAATTTCTTCTATCATAGTTGTGATAACCTATCTTTATATTTTCAAATAACCACCCAAAAAGTTTTTTTTAAGCATGCAGACACGTCAAATAAAGAGCAATTCTATCAATGTCATAGGAAGCTGATTCATAAACGTTCAAAATAAATGTAAATTATAGTTTGAAAATTAAATAAGTACACTTGAAAGAACAGAACGAAATTATTATAGGGTCTAAATAAATATCTATTATCTAAGTATTGCTGACTACAGTTTCATGAACTGTACTTTGGCTAATACAAGAGACCTAAAATTGATATTTTAATAAAAATTGTAGGAAGTTTTTGAAAAAAAAAAAAAAGAAAAACATGGGCTTCAGAAGTAGGTACATAAGAAATATATAGGACGAAGATTTTTGAAACGATGCGACGGGAGAATAATAATGGATGGAAAACTGAACCTTGTAAATGATTTTCCAGGATATTGACAACCTGATGGCGGAGGGCAACAAGTCGCGTACGGTGGCGGCGACGAACATGAACTCGGAGAGCTCCCGCTCGCACGCCGTGTTCTCCGTGATACTCACGCAGACGTTGATAGACACGAAAAGCGGCGTCAGCGGGGAAAAAGTCTCCCGGATGAGCTTAGTGGACTTAGCAGGGAGCGAAAGGGCTGTGAAAACTGGGGCAGTGGGCGATAGGCTTAAAGAAGGAAGCAATATTAACAAGTAAAGATACTAATTTTCGTTCCTCAGCCTGGCAACTTTTTTTCTGTTCACTTTAAGTAAGATCCTAATTATCCGTCAAAATGGCTTGTTATTTTCATGGTAAAACTTTATACGAAGAGGCTACAGCGCAGATAGTTTAAATAATATCACCTTGCAAGAGTTATTGCAGAATATTCTGATGGACAATTATGCCTAGCAAATCGCCATTTTGACGGTAGCATGTAATTGATTATTTTAACGGTAGCTGGTTGTTGATCATGTTGACGATAGTTAGAAGCTGATCATTTTGACGATAGCCAATAGCTGATCATTTTGACGATAGCTGGCAGCTGATCATTTTAACGATAGCTAGTGTCTGATCATTTCGACGATAGCTAATAGGTGATCATTTGGAAGGTAGCTAGTAGCTAATTATTTTAACGAAATCCAATAGCTGATTTTTTTTATGATAGCTACTATGCGATCATTTTGACTATAGCTGGTGGCTGATTATTTTGATTATAGATGATGGCTGATCATTTTGACTATAGTTGGTAACTGGTCATTTTGATGATAGTTGGTAGTCGATCATTTGAACGATATCTAGTAGCTAATCATTTTGACGATACCCAATGGCTGATTTTTTTGACAATAGCCAATAGCTGATTTTTTTTACGATAACTACTAGCTGATCATTCTAATGATAGCTAGTGTCTGATTATTTTGACGATAGCTAATAGCTGATCATTTGGACGATAGCTAGTGGTTAATGGTTTTAACGATATCCAATAGCTGATCGTTTTAACGATAGCTTGTAGCTAATCATTTTAACGATACCCAATAGCTGATTTTTTTTACGGTAGCTAGTAGCTGATCTTTCTGGCGATGACTACCAACTAGCCTTTCTAAACCTTGTTGATAATTGCCCCTTTTGAACTTGGTTGACAATGGAATATTTTTAACCTGTTTAACAACTGGTTATTTTTAACCTGGTCGACAATTAACCATTTTGAACCTGGTTGACAATTGTTCATTTTGACGATAGCAAACCATTCTTTATCTTCACGATGATTCACAAGCATCTATTTTGATGGGAACTTAATGTTGGCTAGCAACCAATTACTTCTACCACGTTAAACAATCTCACGTTTTAATTATATTCTATTTAACAGTCGGATATTTTGTCAACAATTTGCAATCGACTATCTTGACGATGATTAGCTACCAGCCATTTCTGTTGATGATTCCAATCCAGCGTTAAACGAGATTGGCCTAAGGAGATCCTTTGTCAATATGCCACAAATCAATAAACAATTAAATACTGTGAAATAACTTGGCGTGATTCGTATAAAATAACCATTAGATTTTGATTCGACGGTAGTTTGTTTGCCTTCGAGTTCTATCACAGTAGAATAACATGAAATAATTGAGCACTTTCAGAAATTGTTTCCTGAGTAAATATGTTTCTCGTATCAATGTCGATTAAACTGTCCAATTGATTTTACCAATAAATTTAGTTGCCGCATGAACGATGCTCGGAAGTGTTCAGTTTCATTTTGAATCACCCAGCGAGTTGATCGATCGCGGGATACACGAGGGACAAATATTTGCAGATCCCTAACGACGTTGGGTCTAGTCATTTCGAAGCTGGCGGATCAGAATTCCGGAAGTAATAAGAATAAGGACAAGTTCGTGCCGTACAGAGATTCTGTGTTAACGTGGCTGCTAAAGGTATTATTTAACATTATATTCTTCTTAAAACATTTAAAAGAATCTGTCAACTCTTCCATTGCATTTTAACACTAGAACTACCGAACCCATCGAAATGACGGATTTCAGATTTTTATTTTACAATTACTGAAATCCTAGAGGTACTTTCATCGGAATTTATGTTAATCTCTAATTTTTTATATATTTTATAATATAGTATACTAAGTTATATTGCATTATATATTACACAATTTAACTGAGCATACATTAAATGCTGGTAGTTTTAGTTGTTAATCGTACTCTTGATTTTCAAGGTATATAAACCATCGATTCTCTACATTTCAAATTTTCAAAATATATCCTAATTTCTAAGATACTGTTTCAAATTATCTATGCTTCAAAAATAAAACCTCAGATTTAAAAATACTACAGAAACTTTACAAATTACTTAATAATATTCTAAAGCAAAATGTACCTTAATTTTCCAATAATATTCCGGTTGGCGTATAAATAATATGAATTTTTCAGTTAGATGCGTCAGTAATGTAAATTCTCAACGTGATACTTTTGTTTTACTCTCATCACAATTTTTCGAGGACAAATTGTATTGTTCAAGTGATATGTTACACAGTACATATGGAAAGTATATACACTCAACTCTTTTTTTACACAGAAGTTGCACTCATCAAAAAATTGTATAAAAAAACCGTGCAAAAAATGCGTTTTCTATAGTAAAATGGGAGATACGTTCTAAGTGATTAAAAAACCGTGTAAGATGAAATAAAGAACTATATTTTATTCAAAAAACCGTGTAAAAAAGTGACTAAAATATATATGTCAATATTTATTTTAAAGATTTGATTTTGTGGCACGCTTAGCAACTTTTAGATATTTCACTGAGACTATCTATCCAATTATTGAGTGTCAGGGAATCATTTTTCATTTAACAGCTTAATAGTGTACTGATGTACTTCGCTAAATGATCAAATTTAAGCTCTTATCAATGTGTGAGTTAATTTGAAAAAAAAAACCTTACTTTGCCCTTCATTGCCTTACGTGACGTAATAACTAACTTTTCGTAAACTATCTACCTTCCTTTCGTTTCATTTGCTCACATCGACGATAATTTTTAAGTCAGAGGGAATAACACGTATAAGAAAAAAGAAAGACGGTTTTTTCCTTGCACCGTGTTAAAGGAAATAAACCGTGTAAAAAGAAGAAATATGGTTTTTTATCTTCGACCGTGTTATTTAAAAATCGTGCAAAAAAACAGTTAGGTGTATATTTTGTTTTGATGTTCGAATAAAAAGTTTTTCCATTTATCCATCAACTCGATATATTGTTGACAATAACGTTTCAATGTAAATAGAGTAATTATTGGAAGGTTTCGTGGATTGTTTCGCCTGTGAAAATATTTTTCCCCGATTCCAGGATAATCTCGGCGGAAACAGTAAAACCGTGATGGTGGCCACTACATCACCCGCGGCGGACAATTACGAGGAAACGCTTTCCACCCTCCGATACGCGGACAGAGCGAAGAGGATCGTGAATCACGCGGTGGTCAACGAGGATCCAAACGCAAGAATTATTCGGGAACTTAGGCAAGAGGTGGAGGCGCTGAAGGAGATGCTGCTGCACGCGACCGTAAGAAGATTCAAATTAACAACAGAACCGTTCACTTTAGACGACACTACCATCGCGATAACACAAAGATCTGGAAGTTATATCTCCGTTAAATAATTTCGCTAGGAAGTTTTATCTCTGGTGAATACAGATGAAACTCGGCCATGGAGTAGATATTGAATACCAGAACAAAAGATAATTAGAAAATGGTTGTTGATTCGCAGTAGTGTTTATTTCGAGTTTGATGTGTCGATGAGAAAGTAGAAACTAGACACTGTCCCAGAAGATATTTTATAGTTTCAAATTACTCTAGTAGAAAATTTTGTACTTTATTAAATTTAGCCACAAAGTGGATGTTTGGTAACAATCTAGAAGGAAATTAGGAAAAAACTCATACATGGCAGTGTTTTTCTAAGTTTGGATAATTGTAAAAATAGAATTAATAAGATAGAAACGAAACATTGTCCCAGAAGATATTTTATACTTTCAAATTACTCTAGTAGAAAATTTTGTACTTTATTAAATTCAGCCACAAAGTGGATGTTTGGTAATAATCTAGAAGGAAATTAGGAAAAGCTCATACATGGCAGTGCTTTACTAAGTTTGGATAATTTCAAAAATAGAATTAACAAAATAGAAACGAGACACTGTCCTAGAAGATATTTTATACTTTCAAATTATTCTAGTCGAAAATTTTGTTTACCAGAACAAAAGATAATTAGAATCATCAATTAGTCTTTGCAAAAGGAAGTTCTTATTCATTGAAGGAAATCTTTGACAACTACAGAATGATAGCTGTAGCAGATGAAATTTCACAGTTATAACTGGATTAATTTTTCAATCTCATCGTTTATGAATTAAGGGACAAGGATCGATAGTGTGCCAGCAACGCACAGACATAACGGAGAAACTGTCGGAATCGGAGCGACTGATGAAGGAGATGTCGCAGACGTGGGAGGAGAAACTGGTGAAAACTGAGAGGCTGCAACACGAGAGGCAACAGGCCTTGGAAAAAATGGGTATCAGTGTGCAAGCGTCCGGTATCCAAGTCGAGAAGAACAAATACTATCTTGTGAATCTTAACGACGATCCCAGCTTGAACGAATTATTAGTCTATTATCTCAAGGTACTAACCATCAATTTACCACTACTAAAACGCGTTACCTGTCAGGATTTAGCGAGCCCGTAAATTCAGTGGAGCATCGAAACGATCGTGTTGCAAATATGGCCAGTAGCAAGTTAACAGAAACATTTAAAAACCTGGATTAAGTTAAATGGATCATTTTTTTATTAACACTTTCACACTTGATAATGTATTTCACGATTGTTAGAATCTAAAATTTGAAGAAAAATACTTTCGACAGAATAATAAATCTGGGGAAGGATTATTTTATGCTGAATTATGATGATTTCAGCGTTGAGACTTGGGATAATTTTCTTTTTCTTTATCACTGGCGACTTGAAAGAAATTTAGTTTAGTTTTTCAAATTCAAAAGTAGAAGAAGAATACATGGTGAAGTGATTTCTGGAAATATAAATCTAAGGGAGGATTATTTTGCTCTGTATTATGATGATTTCAGTGTTAAGACTTGGGATAAGTTTCTTTTCTTTTATCGCTGGCTACATGAAACAAATTTAATTCAACTCTGGACGTTAACTTAAATAGACATACATGGGTCTTAAATAGATGTCATATCTAGTTAAATGGCAATATGAGGGGTTAAGTATCGATTCTATGCATCTATAGTACATCCATGTGTAATAACTTAATAACACCCAGAAGTGAGCACAATTTAATGCCTAGACGGCTGATTTGATTTCTCTGAAGCACGCCTTAATCCGTAAAACTTAGTAAAATCAAATCTTCGATATGAAATGAATGAAACCCTAACGAAAATAGGGGACTTCAGTTTATTAGGATGATCCATGAATAAATTCCCCATTGCAGTTCATAAATAACTCTCCTTTTCCCTTTCTGAAATTTTCATCAGTTCAAGACAATTGCAACTAATAATAATAATCTATTACCCATAATTTTACAGTTGCTATTAAATTTTATGGCTCACCTCAACGATTCAGTCTCCAGAACAACAAACTTGCATAAAAATCTTCCATCTAGAAATCACATTTTTATTTCCCTTTCTCCCCTAATAAAACGCACAATAGACCTATCGAACTCCCACTTACAGTCGACTGAACTCCAACACCGCGAAAATACGCGATCATCCCGTAGTCCTAGCATTAACGAAGTTACGTGGACATCGATCGGTGCTCCGTCTGACGTTATAATTTACGAGCTTGCTGTGTACCATGGTACACGCAGTGTATCATTGAACCATCGTCCATGTTCTAAATCAGGAGAGGACACTGGTGGGCGGACGCTCCGCGAAAACAGATCAGGACATCCAGCTCCATGGTCTGGGTATCCTACCTGAGCATTGCGTGATCACAATAGAGGAATCTGGGCTGTACATGACGCCGCTGAACGGCGCCAGGTGTTTCGTGAACGGCACCCAGGTCGTCGAGAAAACTCCCCTTTTACACGGCGACAGGATCGTATGGGGGAATCACCACTTCTTTCGGGTGAACTGTCCCAGAAGCGCAACAGGTACGGACCCCAATTTTGTTTTACGTACACCTTAAGGGGTTATGCCTATCTGCGAGCTCGAAAAAAGACATGTACTTTCGGAATTTATTTTTAAAAAGCTTGAAGACTTTTTTAAACATACGCCATTGTATTCGAAAGTGTACATTTTAAAATGCTTATAATAATTTGTTCAATGCAAAATATGAATAAATAGGGGAACTATCAGCGATCTCCCGGCGGCGTTTTTATTTTAGGCGTTTTGCGGTGACTACTGTAACTTCGAGTTCGTTTATCTAATCTGCAGCTTTATTAAGTAGGAAATAAATAAAACTTAAATAATAAGAAAAAATGTATTTTTGAATTGTGGGATAACATAGAACGGTACCATTTTCTCCGAAACCACTCAAAGAATACTTTCTAAACTTTGGCTACACCTGACAAAAGGTTAATGAAATATTGTATACTGAAAATGTTTACCGCCTAGGCATCATTTGAATTTGTAGACTATTTTATAATAAAGGTATAAAAATGTTACACTTGCCACGAGAATAGAATTGCTTTTCTAGCTGGGAAATTATTAATAAAATAATTCTTGAAAGTGGAATTGTCAAAAAAAATCGTATGGCAAGGGGTTAATGGAATCTCCCTACTCAGACGCTCTAAAAGTAATGCAATTTTTGGGAATTGTTTCAAAGAAAAGTATTAAATATAATCGTTTCAAACTTCGCACGGTTATTAACAATCATTCGAAGAATATATTCGATTTTTTTAAAACAGTAATAATAATTTTGTTCAAAGTTACGGTGGTAGTAACAAGAGAGTTTGAAAAAAAAAGGTTACTTACCAGCGAATATGATTCTGATTGTTGTAGTTATATCTGAAACAAAAAGACGCAAAACATTTCTTAATGAATGTGTTTTAACTTCTTTTCTCAAACCTCCTTATCACTGTAACTTTGAACACAATTATTATTATTGCTTAAAAGAAGTTTGAGTAAATAGTAGTAGATTGAGGAAATTTTAATTATTCCTAATGTTAATTTATAAAATCCAAATATTGTTGGCCTGAGTACATTGGCGTTGAAGGGGATTCCAGTAAAAGCATTAAGGAATTACTACAAACTGTTTTTCTTTTCGCAGCGATTAACAGCGAGCCCCAGACACCCGCGCAGAATATCGATTACAACTTCGCGAGGGAAGAGCTGATGCTTAACGAGCTGTCGAACGACCCGATACAGAGGGCCATCGCGAGACTCGAGAAGCAACACGAGGAGGACAAACAGGTATGAATTCGCACAGCCTGACTGATGGACCAGCGTATCTTGTGCGTTTTTACTGGGGAATTTATCAAGTTTAACATCGTTTCTGTCATCGTTAGGTATACGTATGTGACGCGTTTCTCGATATTCTCATGGGACATCGACGTCACGTTATGTGTCACGATTACATCTGCTAAAAACAAATTAGAGGATCGCTAATGTGGATGGTCTTATTGCAGTATACAGGGTGAACCACAAATCGTGATCAGTAAAGATTACTCCGTTATTAGCAGTCAGATCGAAAATGTTTTCATCAGGTATAACATGGTTTCAAGAGAGCTTTAACGCAAATTTTTGTCAACTCTTTCTTTTTTTCACGATTTTTCAAGGTCACCGTCAATTTTTTGCAAATATACCTATAATTTTTTTACGCCTATCTGTGAGAGGTTTTCAAGACGAATTCGGTATCATAATGTAACATGTGTTACTTTTTTTTTAAATTGAATTTTTGAAAGAAAATTGAAGGTGACCTTGAAAAATCATGAAAAAAAAAATAGTTGACAACAAAATTGCTATAACCACGTTAAAGTTCTCTTGAAACCATGCTATACCTGATAAAAACATTTTCGATCGGAATGCTAATAACAGAGTAATCTCTACTGATCATGATTCGGGATTCACCCTGTATATACTTATGCATACTCTGAACGAAAAAAACGAAACAAATGCTACCGGTTTGATAATTTGATATCTTTTAGATACAATACTAATACTACTAATACCTAGTTTAATTTGTATAAAAAACTTTTCGGAGATTATATGTTGTGTTAATGTTAAATTATAATTGTTTCAAGCAGTGTAACTTCAGTTTACGTCAACAGACAGAACCACTACTGGGATATTCATTTTGTTCTGTCGTATTCGATAATATTGTTTTCTTTATTCGTTATCCCTATTTCATATTTTTTAAAGTATATACATATTCTATAGGGACGTGAAACACACTTGAAAGTTTTGAAAGTCGTAAGGTTTGTCTTAATATACACTTCTCATTCATTTGAATAAGGTTCTGATGAAGAGCAGATTACAATCTCTACTTATAAGGTGAAATGTAGGATCTAGAGACCTAAGAAAATACCAAATGCATACATTTAGCGAACAGTTAACAAGTTTCAGAATAATAGACATAGGGAAAATTAAATGTACATCATTCGAAGATTCAGCTGTACAAACACTAATATCTCTTAATGAACTTAGATAATGAAGACAGTAGACAAAACATAAGATTCAGAGCCTCAAGAAGATGCCATAACTCGCAGTTTACAATAACACACATGAAACAATTAACAATCCTACATTTAAAAATTCGGTCGTTGAAACACTAAAGTCCCCCAATTAACGTGAAGAATAAAGACTCCAGCGTTACTGACAAAACCAAGTCTTTCGTCGTTTCTATGTAGATATCAGCGCAGAAGCGCGCCTGTTTACTTTGCGATTACACCGTCGTCTTAATTACCAGCGCGACAGAGCGTGTCAACAAGACGTCTGGTCTGTTTTATCTAAAAGGTCGCGTTGGAGAAGCAGAGGCAAGAGTACGAGCGTCAGTTCCAGCACCTGCGTAACATCCTGTCCCCGTCCACACCGTATTCACCGTACGTACCGTACGATCCGTTGAGAGGCAGCCAGAGCGGGAAATTGCCGGCCTGCACGCCGACCACTCAGATGCGAGTGGAGAAATGGGCCCAGGAGAGGGACGAAATGTTCAAGAGGAGCTTGGGCCAGTTGAAGACGGACATATTGAAGGCGAATTCTCTGGTGCAGGAGGCGAACTTCCTGGCGGAGGAGATGGGCAAGCAAACGAAGTTCAGCGTGACCCTGCAGATCCCGCCGAACAATTTGAGCCCGAATAGAAAGGTACCCCGGTCGCATTGTATCTTTGTCCATGAATCATTTGTGTCCATACATTATTTGAGTACATGGATTGTGTCTATGAATCATTTGAGTACGTGGATTGTATCCATGAATCATTTGAGTACGTGGATTGTGTTCATGAATTATTTGAGTACGTGAATTGTGTCCATGAATCATTTGAGTACGTGGATTGTGTCCATGAATCATTTGAGTATATAGATTGTGTCTATGAGTCATTTGAGTACATGAATACATTGAATACATTAAGAAGAGTTTTTGTCAGGCTATAGTCTTTGTGGGAGCTTGAAACTTTCATCGTCATCCGTCCCATATTTTCCCAACTTAATTTGTTCCTCGGTGTCGAATTGATACGATGGTAAAAAATTAATCCAATGAAGAGCCAAATAGTTGAATTTGCAAATTCTTTGAAATAAAAGTCACAGGACTTCAGCTAAATTTACTTACACATAAGAGAATAACATAATTTCTTAGGACAAAAATATGTCAACTTGACACAAGGGACGGATGAGGATTAAAGAAACTGAAGTAATGTCCACGAAAATTTCCATGGCATTGATTTTTTACATTATAGCTTAGATTTTGTTAATTTTATGGAATTTTTTCAGTTATGTGCATTCAACTTTATTTTTTTGATGTGGTGTCCTTAGAATCCTCTGATCAATTTTTGAAGTAGTACCCGTGAAGATGATAAATTCTGTGCTGAAGCATTCGAGTGTTTTTGTGATAGAGGAAAGCTGTTTCAGTTAGTGAATTAAAGAGAATATATTTAAATTTATAAAGAAATATGTTTATAAACAATTATATCGAATTTATAGGAATTGAAATTTTTCAGTTATGGTTAGAATTCAGTTCGTCTTTTAAATTGTGGAAATTGAATAGGGAATTTCGTGCAACGTTAATAACTGTGAAAATGAAGTTTTGTAACGTCCATTTATGTCCAGTTTAATGAAATCCTTGATAAAGAAAATAAAATTCTTTAGATATTTTAAGATTTTTCTTCAAAAGAGTGACTTCTAATAAATATAGTCCAATGTATCTAAAACTTGGATCCATTGCGCTAATTATTATGCATCAGAAATTTTTACGCAATTTTTCTATTATGATTTTATTCATTTAAATTTATTTACTTATGATTTCACGTAATTTCAGTTCGTTGCTTTCGTTGTGTTTGTTTGATTTATTTGTGTTCATTCTGCTTTCGCACTCTTCGATAAGCAGAGTGTATTCTTTCAGCGGGGGGCTTTCGTCAGCGAACCCGCAATTCTAGTTAAAAGGACGAACATGGGCAGTCAGGTGTGGTCCATGGAGAAGCTAGGTAACAAATTGGTCGACATGCGGGAGATGTACGAGGATTGGAAGGATCCTAACAACTGTCAACGATTACCTGCCATTAAGGCGAGTATTCTATTTAAAACAACCAGTAGATCCGAATACAAACTTATTCTTCTTTTTCATTGGATTCGGTGATAAACACATTTCATCCTAGTTATAGAAAAATTAACAGGGAAACATAAGAATCTTCAAATTAAATAATAATTACTAAGCTTAGCAATGTTCGAGAATGTTATTCAATAACATTAATTGAAAAAAGGTTCGAAAGGGACATAAAGAAGATCATTTACCATTCCACCTAATATTCAATCAAATTTCTACTTATAACGAAGCCATTCACACAATGAAGTTTCTAACTCTACTTTTTGAGCCAATTCAAAGTTTTGTTCAATTCTCATACGACAATAATTTCAATAAATAGTAATAGAAATATCCCAGTAAGTATCCTAATTGCCTAATTTAATTAGAAACATTGCCGATATCCTCTACCATATGTGTCTCAAAACGGACCATATTACCTCTGAAGTGTCTCAATTCTCCATGAAGCAAACGTAGATGATCACTTAGGCTTTACATAGATGACCATTACTTAGGCTTCACATAGATGATCACCATTTAAGGCTTCACATAGATGACTACAATTTAGGCTTCACATAGATGACTACAATTTAGGCTTCACATAGATGACTACAATTTAGGCTTCGCATAGATGACTACAATTTAGGCTTCACATAGATGACCATCACGTAGGCTTCATATAGATGACAACCATTTAGGCTTGGCATAGATGACCAGCATTTAGGCTTCACATAGATGACTACAATTTAGGCTTCAGACAGATGACCACCATTTAGGCTTCATATAGATGACCACAATTTAGGCTTCACATAGATAACCACTCAGGCTTCACACCTGATCACTTAAGCTCCCAAGTGTCTTCTAACAAACAACCGCTTAAACCCAATTACTTTTGTCACACAGGACGAGGTGCCAGGCAAGACGCAGGACCCGTTCTACGAGTCCCAGGAGAATCACAACCTGATCGGCGTGGCGAACATATTCCTGGAGGTTCTGTTCCACGACGTTCGGTTGGACTATCACACGCCGATCATCAGCCAACAGGGAGAAGTCGCTGGACGACTGCAGGTCGAGATCAGCCGTATATCCGGCCACTTCCCGCAGGACCGAATGTGCGAGGCTGCGTCCGAATCCTCCGCAGACTCGACCTCCTCTGAGCCTGAAGACTACTCTGGCTCGAGTCACATCACCTGTCGCGTGACCATAAAGCAGGCTACCGGTCTGCCCCTATCCTTGAGCCATTACGTGTTCTGTCAGTACATGTTCTGCGGTCATTCGGAGCCAATAGTGGTCCCAGCTGTGGACAACTCGGAGCAGATGAACGCGACATGCCAGACTGGACAGAGGGACTCACTGGCGTTCCAGTTCAATCACACGAAGGATTTCATCGTACCTGTCACGGAGGAGTTCATGGAACACTGTGCTGGTAAGCAATTGCTGGATTCGAGTATGTTAGGCCACGATAAGTGTTCTTCGTTGATACCACACGATAAGTGTTCTTCGTCGATACTACACAATAAGTAGTGTCCGTCAATATCATGAAATATTGCACAGGGAAGGTGTGGTCTACAACTCGAAGGATCGCCCTTAAGGATAAGAACTGATTGCTTTTTCAAGTATTATTACTTGGTTTCTACGTTGAGAGCCTGAACGCTCTCAAATATACACCGGAGGTGGATCCAATTTCTGTACTCCACTTCCAAGTCTTCTAGTAATTTCCTTTGTTCCTCTGATCCACCATCTGCGATTGGCGGATGCTGTTGTATTCAGTTGGTCAAAGCAATATATTCTTGGACGGTTTTCTTATTCGCCATCACTACTATGTCTTTGATAGAGGTTATGTTGTTCGATTTTTTATTATTCTCTAATATTGTTCCCCAATCTTTTTTTGGATCATGCCCCACCTCAACGCCTCAAAGATCTTTATGTTTCCCTAACAAGATAGTAAACCAAGTTCTGAAAAAGTTTAACATTAATAACTGCTTCAAATAAAAAGGGCACATAGGTAAAACTGTTGTTAATGAAGTAACGGATGTCAATGATTTGCTAATTGTCACCCAAAATATTCAAATTACCCCTCGGAGTAGTTTCTAAGGGTTGGGGCAATGCATAACAGTTCATTCTATCAAGTTAGTTACGTTTGTTCTTTTACTTCCAGAGGGTGCCTTGAGCATAGAGGTCTGGGGCCATCGAAGTGCCGGTTTCTCGCGAAGCAAACCCGGCTGGGAAGTCGAGCAACAGCAGCTTGCTAAGGCTCGGTCCCTGGCTGACCGATGGTCGGAGTTGACGCGGAAGATCGAGCTTTGGGTCGAGATCCAGGAACTAAACGAGCAGGGAGAGTACTCGCCGGTCGACGTGGTTGTCAAGCAGGACATGTGGACGGGTACGTGGATTCTGAAGACAGTTTATCAACTGTTATCGATAGCTGGTTGACCTGAACTAAGCACTAATGATTTGTCGTGAGCCAGTAATGAGGATAATAGAAGGCAATAACGAAGTGTTAACTGAATCTTCAATAACCCCTATGTTGATTTCATTCTATTAGAGATGAAATTTGAAGATCGAAATAAATACACTGACCGTAACCTTACTTCATACTGATAGAGATTGCTACAAGTAGCAGACATAAGCAGGAACTTAACCGAGTATGATTTTGATACCGGTATTCCACCATCAAAGCTATACCGAAACCGATATATTACCGAAAACCGAAATAAATACCGGTATAATACCGGTATTATGCCATCAAAGCTATACCGAAACTGATATATTACCGAAAACTGAAATAAATACCGGTATTTTTTCGGTTTCTATAAAAGTAGGGCTTATATAGTGTTATATAGGGCAAAGGTACAACTGAAAATACCGGTATAATACCGGTATTATGTCATTAAAGCTATACCGAAACCGATATGTTACCGAAAACCGAAATAAATACCAGTATAATACCGGTATTATGCCATCAAGGCTATACCGAAACCGATATATTACCGAAAACTGAAATAAATACCGGTATGTTTTCGGTTTCTATAGAAGTAGGGCTTATACATATAGGGGTATATAGGACAAAGGTGCAACCGTATAATACCGGTATGTTACGTTTCAGTAGAAGTCCCAGGATATAAGGAGCTCCAAAAAATTGAAGAGCTAACGTTTTCGATGACGTAAATTTGTTGTTTTTTCAGGTGGTATTTATCAATTGCGTCAGGGACAACAACGGCGAATACAAGTTCGCGTGAAACCAGTACAAAACTCGGGAACGTTGCCGATCATCTGTCAGTCGATCCTGAACATAGCGGTTGGTAGCGTTTCCGTGAGGAATCGCCTTCAGATTCCGTTGGACAGCTATCAGGACGAGGATTTGAGTATACTGAGGAAGAAGTGGAGCGAGGCCTTGATGAGGAGGAGGCAGTACTTGGATCAGCACATACAGAAACTTATTAACAAGCAAGGTACATGAGTTATTTCGGGGTCAACGTTAATCTTACAATTTTTTTATCATTTTATTAGCACAAATTTTATAGTGTAATACACTGAAAATTAACTGTGACAGTCTTTGAACAATCTTTGAGACACTACTCTCGACAGTTAGAATTGACATGTAATAGTCACTGATCAATTTGCAATTAAATGGGGTACATTCAATAAAATAGATTCTATACTAATCAAAAGGTTACTAATTATTATAAAAGAAGAGTTAGGAAAGCATGCACGTAACTCTGATATTTCCAGACTCTCTAACTCTAGTTATCAATTATTGTGAGAAAAATGTTACGGAAATACACATGTAGTCTCTGATAATCCAAGACTTTCTAGTCCGTGATATTGTGGATCACTGAATATATGACTGACAGAAACTTATTGTGTACAGATAAAACGGAACAAGATATAGAACGTGAACAGAGTCTCGTGGGTCAGTGGGTTAGTCTGACAGAGGAACGCAACGCAGTTCTGGTTCCTGCAGCAGGATCAGGTATACCTGGTGCACCTGCTGATTGGAACCCTAGGAATGGAACCGCACATACCTGTACTGTTCCTTGATCTCAATGGTATGATACAATTGTTTAAGTGTTTTCTTTAATAAAAAGATTCTACCGTCTATCATATTACCGTCATTTGCACTGTTGTACACCTGAGTTTAATCGTTCTTTCAAAATGGAATATTTACAGCCGACGATCTCTCGACCCATCAGTCAGGAGAGGAGGTCTCCGTAACCGGCCTGAACTCTATCTTACCCAAGGAACACGGCAATATATTCTACAATTTACCAATTATTCGACGCATTGAAAAAGACGTTTGTGCCATCGCTGCTTGGGACTCCAGTATACATGACAATATACACCTAAACAAGGTTACAGATGGTAAGTTAAATACATTTTTTGGATTGAGTATTTAGAAAGGATTCCGGTGAACTGAATGAGTAGAGCCCAGTACGTATGTTAGTTAAGTAAATAGAGCCCAGCACGTAGACTTTTGTTTGTAGGAAAATCATAATTATCTCTGTGATTGGTTTGAACCCCATATTTTTTATTGGAGTCTATTGAAGATTTTGTCAGTGCCTTTCAATGACCCATTGTGATGCTAAGACTGTCTCTCTAATAACTTCTATGGCAGAGATTCTAAACAGTTAATAATATTCTCCTAGTAATTATGCTAGTAATGTAATCGGTTCAATTATCTCTGACTCCAGCAGACACTCAAACCTAGACTGCGGATGTCGATGCAAATTCACTTCACACTGGTGTATAAAAGTAGGAATGAAAAATATATCCCTTATGAAGAATTTAAATATTTAAAAACTGACATTGAGTCCCTATCAAAAGCTACCAAAATCTGGTTACTCATAAAACTCATAGACAGCATCCCCTGAGTGACGAACGCTTGTAGGCGTTCAGCGACCATGTTCCCAAACCATCACCCTATTTTGTAAAAAAAAAACACGTTCTTCAATTTTTCCACTGAATGTTCAACGGTCCTAAATCATTGTATCCAATTCAAGGATTCCTTAATTTTGTTCCAGCGAACGAGAGGGTTTTTCTGATCCTGAAAACGACAGTAAGGCTGTCGCATCCGGCGCCCATGGACCTAGTGCTGCGTAAAAGACTGGCCCTAAATATTTATAAAAGACAGAGCATCACGGACAGAATATTCAAGAGGATCGTCCGCACCGATTGCTTGACACAGACGGGCGTCACCTATGAGGTAGTGTCCAATATACCAAAGGCGAGCGAGGAACTGGAGGACCGTGAGAGTTTGGCGCAGATAGCCGCCAGCGGGGAAGACAACAGTCTTTGTGACGGTGAAACGTATATTGGTGAGTAAATTTTAACAATTTACTCGGTGAGCTTTTGCGAATATTAGTCGTCCAATAAAGAATGCAATGTTCCCAATAACTATTAATAAGTAACTGCAACTAATACTTGTTAAGCAAGTAGTAGCTGTTAACAATTAGTATCATTAGTAGTTTACAATTGGGACAATTAGGTACTCAAGTGGGTACCTAGGTATAATTAAGGTTAGGTGTTACAACTGTACCATACCTGGGTAGTTAATAATGATTAGTACTGCTAATGGTTTACTATTGGGACACTTAGATACCCAAGTGGGTATCTAGGTATAATCAAGGATAGGTGTTACAACAGTACCTTGTCTTAGTAGTTCACAATTCGTACCATTAGTAGTTTACAAATAGTACAATTAGAAACCCAAGTGGGTACCTAAGTGTAGTCGACCAGGTACTACAACACTTCTCCTTCAATATTTCTTACAATAATTTGAAATTGTAATAAATATTTTTAGTAACAACAATAATAATAATTTCAAGATATTTTCTATATGGATTTAGTTTAAACCATTTGCCTTCTGGGGGTTAATAAAAAGAACAGTCTCCGTTATTTATTGGACGACCAAAATGTGTCTGTTTAAATATTATATATTCATTTGTAATTTTTCTGTGTAGAAAAATATACGCGTGGCGTCTCCGCAGTGGAAAGTATCCTGACTCTAGACCGATTACGACAGAACGTCGCGGTGAAAGAATTGTTACAGGCACAGGGCCAGCCGTTGATGCGCAAGACAGTAAGCGTGCCGAACTTCTCGCAGGTACTACTGCCTCTTCGCCGTCTTGGACGCACTGTATGCTTTTCGTTTAATTTGATTTTTTTTTCTTCCATTTTTTAATTTTATCCCCCCCCATCACATTTTCTCTTGATTACACGTTGCTTTGTTTTACGTTCATTTTGAGAGTGCAGTTTTAATCGAGACACACTGAAGCTTTTACGCAACTGGAGGTTCTTGTGCACTGCTCGAAAGAATTAGAGGATCGTTATTGAAAGGAAGAAATCATTTTGATAAATCGATAGCTTTTTCGAACAACAATAACAACTGGTTTTGTTTTATCAAGAAAACTTTTCATGGACTGTTTGTATTGTCGATGAGCACAATAGCTGCGATATGCGATTCTCTAATTTGTTTGACCAGTGTATTCAGTTCGAACGGTTGGATCTTTTGGGATGTTCTTCGGAAAACGTCTTCACCATTCGGGGTTATGGAAATGTTTAATCTGACTTAGATTTAATTTTGTGTAGACGTATGACTTGATTTTTTTTAAAGATAAAGAGAAAGAAACATTGTATTCCTTGGATTACCTAACGAGCATATAACGGATTCATCTTGTGGCGTTATGAGAAATTTGGTAACTGGACTGCGGATATTTGTGTATTGATTTATCAAAAAAATAGTTAAATAGAAGTTCCTTCCCTTTAATCAAAATTGTATTAAGAGAAACGAAGATTGAAGTCTGTGCTGGTCTTTATTAAAATTTGTTACTTTACTATATTTTATTCAGTCGCGTCTATTACTAATGCATAAAATCCACATTATATTGATGACACACAGTGATGTGTGTCATCAAATTTATATCATATTTAAAGTAAAAGAACATTCATCAAATCCAACGGCTCCAACCGCTATCGATCAGTTTCCACATAATTGAAATAATCACTAAACTGCAGATTTTACGTATTCATACCAAGTATAAAGAACACACTAGAATAAAAACCTTAAGAAAGATTAGTAAAATTTCTGATTTATTTTTAATTTAATAAAATCTTTTTTAGTACCGGTTTTTCTAGAACAGATTACAAAAGTGAGAATTTGCATAAAAACCTGCAGTCTAGTTACAATATATTCATCAAGTTCCTCATTTACTAATTATTATTACTAATTGAATAGCCCTTTGGGTACGGCATAGAACAATGAAAAAGTGCTCAGTCTATGTAAAAAAAAAAAGATATCAATACAAGCGCTGTTTTTCATACCTCGTGGTTACTCCGAGGGCACACACGAGCCAACGGTATTCAAAGGGTTACAGAAAAGTTTAACAAAATGGGAATATACGCACAAGAATCGTTCATTGATGCATCAGTAAAACGACATTTTACATGTATACAGAAAATTGGATTTAACCCTTAACCAGTCACGTGGTCTGTGTGAGACCGATTTGTCTATAAACGATCTAGTAATTTATTCTGCTGTTTTTTGCGTTCAATTTCTCTTTTGTTATAGTTTTTCGAATACTTGTGTCTGTTACTAACGTACCAATATAGAAGAATAAATGCTTAGCTTCAATTTATGTTGAATTCTAAGAATTGCTATTAGAATTTCGTTTTTCTGCCCTTTGCTAAAAATACCAGACTCAATCTCAAACTAAACTATTATACAGGGTATACCATGTCAGTCGATTCCCTGAATATCTCCGAAAATATTCATGATACCGGAAAATGTTTCGAACAAAAGTTAAATAGTTTCGAGCGGGACACAATTTAGTGTCAATAGTTTCCTTGTAAGTGGAGGCGTAGAGGACATATGAAGGTCAACTTTATTTTTTTTTAATGGAACCATATATTTTTCAATACATCAATCAATGCAACTCCTAATTCCCCGTAAAAAATTATTAACCTAGTTTTATCGAAAAATCATTAGTTTAGGAGATATTTCAATTTTTCTACAGGGTGTCCCAAAATAGTTTCGACTTCCAAAAATAAGAGGTTCCTAGGGTGCTTTAAAACATTATTTTCCTTAGCGAAAAAGTTCTCTAAGGCTTTGTTAACAAGATATTAACGAAAAACCCCGACCAATCAGAGTGCGAGTCTACGGCCGAGCTCTAATTGGTCGGGGTTTTTCGTTAATATCTCGTTAACAAAGCCTAGGAGAACATTTTTGCTAAGGAAAAACTTGTTTCAAATTACCCCAGAAACCTCTTATTTCTGATATTCTCATATTTTGGGACACCCTGTATATCATCCTCACAAACTGCACGTTACCCTTTATGCACGAGAAAAAAATTCGCATATCTGGTTAAGGGTTGATCTAGGGTATTATACGTATCGATGATTATAGATCATGAGATCGGACACATCGATGGATTCCCTGAACGTCACCAGATCTGAGAGCGTGACTGATCTCAACAGTGAATTGAGCGCTGTACTCCATCCTCGTCGCGCGTCCACGGGCCACACAAGAAACGACGAGAACTTCGTGTCCACGCCGGCGAAATCGTTCGGAATCGGTAAGCACGCCTCATTCATATTTAATCTTTCGATTAGACATCTCTGAATATTGAGCTCATCGACATTGCTATTCTATGATTTCGTAATCGCACACCTTAGTAAAGAACGTACGGTTATTTTCGTATATTGAACACAGTTGTACACAGCTCAGAACAATTGGAGGATCTTTACTAATGATAAGGATCTATAAAATATATTTTTGGTCCTACATTGATATATAGTATGAATTATTATTACTATCCAGTAGATACTGGCGGTGAAAAGTTTCCTATCAATCTTTTTTTTTAAATACTAAGAAATTGTAGAAACAATACTTGTTTGTATCATCTTAAAATCGCAAAGGTGTTAATTATATGATCTTATGGATTGTGGAATTTTATGGAATCTGGATCTCTGAGAGGTTTTTCGGAACGTTTGGACAGATATTTCTCAGATAACGATAAATTAAGTAATTGACTGAATATATAGAATAGCTAAAGAAATGAAAAAATTTGAGTACTCATTTTTTTAGGAATATACCGTATGACATTGTTTTTATATTCTTATTACTAATGAAGATATTAGTGAATATATTTTTGTAACTTTTCATATTTAAATATACCAACTTTTGTTTGTACGTTCAAAACTATACGAATCTGTCGCTTTGGTTCTATTAATCTACAAATCTAAAAGGAGTAGTATTGAGAATGAATTGAAAATTTTCACTGGCAGTGTATACATATATGAACATTATGATTTTATTATATGATATATTATGATATAGTATAGAATGTCCCACTAAATATGAGCATTTAAATTGTTCATAGCTCCAAAACTGCAGGGAAGATTCTTTTGAATTTTGAATAATAGCAGAACTAATTTAAATATTCATAATTACTGATACATTCTGTGTATCATAATCACATTATTATAATACATACCAGAATCATATTATTATAATATGTATCATAATTATATACTATTATTCACTATTATTCAATATATGATCCTCAAATTGTTTTGAACAGTACGTACACATTATGAATACGAGACGTTAATGAATCAAATTAACGAAATCATAGAAGACAGAACGAGATTCAATTGGTACATATCACGGAAATCGATTGAATCCGGACGACGACAATTTATTTTTCAATTGTTCAACACGAAAATTCACTCATACATAATATCATTCTCTCATCCATTAGTTGACTATATATATATATACGTTTTATATTGTAGTAATCCATTTTACTAGCATACTATTTACATAATTTCTCCGATCGTTTGGTATCATCGAATTAATACTTATTACTCTTGTTCATAATAACTTCTTTTAACAATATCCAACCGGTACTACCCATAAGTACGCCAACAAAAAGGTAATTCGATCATTTCCTGCAAGAGGAACAATATCGTTTCTCTTGTTTTTTACGTTAATTTTTCGTTTCTTTTTATTCTCCGCTCTGCAAGCATATTTCTGCAAGCAATGGCGTTTAAATAGCGAGACCTAGCGAGAGACATTGTTCTTTCGAAGTATTGTTTTTTTTTTCGTTTTTGTTATAACATTAGGCGAGTGCAAAAGTTTTGATAGGTTTCGATCTAAAAAAAGTAGACTAATAATAATTCCAATCATAATGTAATAATAATTTAACGAAATACGTAATGATTCTTCTATAACATACGTATGCTCGATAGTAATTTGCGTTCTAAGTAAACAAAATTTTAGAATATTATCATTCTTGATATTTTATATTAAAAAATTCACTGTTTACCACATGATTGTGATTGATATACAACTTTTCTCAAAACACATGAAAAATTTTGTTCCACGTTATTCGTAACATTTATTCCTTTCATTTTTAAATTACCTTTTTTATAAAGCTCGATTTTAATCTTATTTTAAAGAGATGAAAGATGTTTTTCATAACAATTTACTCGAAACAATTTATAGGAATAAACTATTCCTATTATTTATAGAATTTTCTTTTTCTTCATAAAGCTCGATTTCAATTCTATTTTAAACAATAAAACACATTTTCGTTCTAAAAAAACAATTCAGTGTGTTACATTGTCATCGACGCATATTACTACAAAACCAAAATCTATTAAAACTTTTGCACGGACCGAAATACATAGTTTGTTGCGCTGACACGTTCGTTCATCACTCGACGAGGGGCTTGCTAATTACCGAACGCAGGGTTATTTGCTAAATGGATTGCTACGTCACGCGTGAATTTTTAACGAACTTTTGATTTCCCACGATTTTTTCATTTCCCCCCTTTTTCTTCTCCATTCGTTCACGTTTGTTTTGGATTTTCACGACATTTTGATCTCTTGTGCGAGTTCATCGTTTGTTCTTATTTTTTTATTTTATTTTTATAATGGATGCAACATCTTAGTTCGCTTCAACTACCGATTGAATTTTTACTCAGACCGACGCTTTTTGATCAACATTTTTAATGGCACTGTGTTTAACGACCTTAGTACTTAGAACAACATTTTCTATTGTTATACATATCGGTTTTTTTTTTGGTTTTTTGATCACGTTCTCGTTGCCTTGAATTCCGCTTTCTACTGATTACATTCGACCGTGGAATCTTACCGATCCGTTTCTGAATTGTGGCTTATGCAGTGTTTTTTAATATTATACATATTATATATCACCTTTGCCATGATAGTCACTTTACGATCTTGCCCTAGATTTTGTCTGAAAAATCTCCACTGTTACGTCATCCTTTTGGTACTGGATATGTTGATCACCTTTTTTTTTTTCGATATATGAAAGAGAACCATGTCACATCTGTTCTCGTTTCTTATTTTTCTTAGTCTCTTTTTTTTATAATTAAGATTCATGTCATCTTTCATTAGCGTTTCTTTCCATAGTGTCTAACGATTAATAAAATGAATTCAATGAAATTTTGGGTTCTATCGAACATTTCGAGTTTGACCGATCTCCATTTCGATTAAGTCGAGATATTTCTACTTGCTCTATTATTTTCTATAAATTTAAAAAAATCTATTTTTTTTTTGGAAATTTAATTTTGGAATCACCTTAATATCTATAATTTTGCTTCGTGAATAATATTAAATGGAGGTAAAAGAAAATAGAAATAATTCGAAATTTTGTATTCCTTTTTTAAATGAATTTAAGATACGATGGAAGGAAACTACTTTTCACCTAGAACAAACACGACCAAACATTCTCTCTCACTTATCCTTAAAAATGTTTTTGGTAATATCAATCCTCCCTTCATTAGCGATACCACTACACTGGAATTTCGTATTATTATTATATTTACAGCTTCTATCATATTGTTATGTCACCGCCGGCTATGTTCAACTTTTTCGCACAATCTTTTTTCGGATAACCGATTGCGAGAGTAACGAACTTTGTAGCTTTCATAGAGATCATTCGTTTGCCACGCGGACACGTGGGACACGAAGAGAGTTGAGCATGGTAATAACGAAACCACCCACTTTCTCATATCCGCCTAGCGTTTTAGCAGCGACACTTGAGCTCCACCACTTATACAATAAAAACAGTATCCAAGACTGTTGAACGAAACTCGAGGGGTTGGTGCAACGTGGACACGGAAATGATACTACGTTTTTGGAAATTCGTTTAAAAGAGGCCACTTTGAGATTGTACACCTGTGTTTATAAATAGTTTACATAAAAGTATTTTACATGAATTGAATTCGTCCAATGATTTGGAAGATGTAGCAATGTTTCGAAGGGTAAAAGAAAGAAGTATTAAAAAAGACAATTTCTTGAAGAAATTGAGTCCACATTTTTTTTTAAATATTTATTTTTGTGACGATCAAGGATCCATGTTGTAGACCAAATCGTTTCGTACGTTTTAAATGAAGTTTAAGGATTAATAACTACGATTAACTTCTTATTTAATCAACTTAATTTAATCCCTTCCGTTGAGCAAATTCTGCTTGAAAAGATTACTATTGCCAAGTAACTTTGCAATAATTGTAAAATATTCTGTCACTATAATAGCTTATTTTATTTAATTTTTATGTTTATACGGTCTTAAGAAGATCATTACTGTCAAATAACTTTGCAATAATTGTAAAATATCCTTTCACTAAATAGCTTATTTTATTTGATTTTGATGTTTATACGGTCTTAAGAATATCATTACTGTCAAATACCTTTGCAATAACTGTAAAATATCCTTTCACTAAATAGCTTATTGTATTTAATTTTTGTATTTATATGGTCCTAAGACGGTCATTACTGTCAAGTAACTTTACAATAATTGTAAAATATCCTTCCACTAAATATCTTATATTTCTTTTTTAAATCGTGAATTTTTGACTTGACAAATTTTCACAGTAAATTGTAAAATATAGTTTCACGAAGTATCTTGCATTCCTCTAAAAAAAATTATATAACTTACAGAGATGTATGGATCTACAGATACGAAGTTAAAAATTTCTATCTTGAATACTTTCTCCCATTTTTTAAATAAAATTCCAAATACGTATTTTGTTCACGCGTCCACGTTCCGTTAGCCCCTTGACACTAGCGAGTTCCGTAGCAAAATTTTAACCGATCGTTGTCTTCCTGGACTTAATTTAATGTATGCAACTTATCTGTTCCTCTGTTTAACACTACGTCTACTACTTCTACAACTATTTCGGCCCACGCAAGGCTCCATTCTGAACTCAGGTAAAATGGAGTCTTGATATTTGATATTTTGATTGATGCCGTTACAGGCAGCGACGAATTAGTACATTATGTCTCGTGAGTGGTTGAGTCTGTCTGTTGTTTTTAGTTATCCAGTACGCATCGGTGTGTCGGCGTATTAATTATTTTTGTGAATACACGGCAATATTCAGAACCCAGAAGCCATCGACATCAACGTTCAATTTGAAAATTTCAATTCGATCATCTGCTGAACATTTCTGTTTCAAATGAAAAGAAAAACACGACGTGAATAATTTTCACATTTTACTTTTATCGTACGTGGCGCTTGGCGTTCATGGCTTACAAAGCATATTTTTATGATTATTTAATCGAGCAGAATTTTTTTAGCAGATTTCGTTGGCTCGCTAGAAGAGTGACATATCCCACACAATCGTTAATTTCAAGATTTCTAGAAAAAAGTAACTGTAAAAGTAAGCTATTTTGCTTCGACAGAGCGTCACTTAGTTACTGTTAACTGATTTAATTAAGAAAATTATTACTATTTAACAAGACTAATGTGGTTCAAAAAAGAGGATGTTTTAACCCTTTTTTTTTACAATAGTATACAATACACATGAACAATACTTCATTAGAGATCCTCAAAACCAAACGAGTATCACCTAAATTGTAAAAGAAAAAGAAATTTTTCAATAGCTAATAGAGTCATTTATAATTTTCTGCCACGAAAAATTTCAAAACGATTATCTGAAAAACTTTTCTTTTTGTCGTTGTGTCATTCTTCTAGCAAACCGACAATTTAATGGTCGTTTCAGTTGACTTTTATCGAGAAACGTTTATCGAAGAAAAGTGGTGAACGTGAGCATTTAACGGATCCCCCGCTGCAGTAAATAAATAAAGCTTGACGAACGCTGTTGCTGTTTGTTTCCATCGTACGAACGAAACCTCGTAAATGCTGATGATTCGTTTGCATTCTAGTTCTGAAGATTGCTGAACGCATTATTTCTGTCTAGATTGAACGCTGTTTATTTGCGTTTAGCGATGTTGCATTTCGTATTTCGTTCACAGAATTAATTGCATGCGAATGCGTTTCCCTTGTGTGTACCAAGCATCGGCTAGTCTGTTCAATGATTAAGCTCCTTTTTATTGCACCTTTCTGCGATATGATCACTGTGCAACCACTGGACTGCAGATGTTTATGCATTTATATAGTAAACGGGCACCCAGAACTAGTGAATTAATTTTCTTTTCGTATACAGGGTGTCCCAGAATAGCTTCGACTCCCGAAAATGAGGAGTTCCTGGGATGATTTGAAACAACTTCTTCCTTAGCAAAAATGTTATCCGAAGCTTTGTTAACAAGATATTAACGAAAAACCCCGACCAATCAGGGCGCGAGTCTGCCTGGTCGAGCTCTGATTGGTCGGGGTTTTTCGTTAATATCTCGTTAACAAAGCCTCGGATAACATTTTTGCTAAGGAAAAAGTTGTTTCAAATCACCCCAGGAATCCCTCAATCAGGGAGTCGAAGCTAATTGGGACACCCTGTAGATCTCTCTCTCTCATCGTGTTTGTATCTGAAGAATTTCCTTTAAACCAAATGTATTTCACTATAAACGATGAATCTACTACGTTCTTGATGATTTTCGTCCTAATTGTGTAAGAATGATTGGAAGATGAAATATTACCATAAATATGAATTATCAATTTGGTAATTGCAAATAGACGAAAATGAAAGTGGTACTTTACGATTAAAAGTGAATTTTACAAATGATGTTCAGTTGTCGTATAACTTAATAGTATAAATTGAATATGTCCTCGTACTTTCTTTTTTGATCAAAATGACGTGGGATGTCGGAGAACAATAACAAATATTATTATACCATTAACACGCTGAATACCAAACAGTTTACATGTACATATTTACGCATAGTCTTACAATTGTTAGACTGAAATATTCACTATACGAGGTATATAATAATAAAATATATTATCTTGTCAACAATCACCGATTTTATTGCAATAACAATAGTATCGAAAAATTGACAAGTACTTATTAATATTCATTTGCTTCAATTACATTTGACAATACCGATCACCGATGACAGTCGTGATATTCAACGTGTTAAGAACCGTGTGTTCCTGATTCCCACGAAAACTATTGCATTCGATAAAAAATGGATTGCTTACTAATAATCTGAATATTACACAAAAAATTTATTTGGATATTCAACACCTGTATCATTGGCTAAGAAAACATTTAATAAGTTTAAAAAAAATCCAATACAAAATAATTTATAAAAAATTGAATAAAGTGGTGGGTTTGTTAATGGAAAATTGAACAAAAGGAAACCTAGCCAATATGTGGATTCAAAACAGTGTCCACTGCTCTCTATGTATAGTCACATTGCTGGTCCCAACCAATAGACCTATAGAGAGGCAATACAGTGCTTTATTTCGATGAATTTCTCACTTTTATCTATATAAAATATGATCTATAACGATATAAATTTTCAATAGACCTATAGGGAGGCACTACAGTGCTTTGTTTCGATGAATTTCTCATTTTTATCCATCTACTATGTGGTCTGTAACGATGTAAATTCGCAGTAGACCTATAGTGAGGCATTATAGTACTTTATTTCGATTAATTTCTGAATATCAGTGATATACATCTACAATGTGGTCTAATAATCTAAATAAACATTATACAATGCTTTATTTCGATTAATTTTTGAATATCAGTGTTATACATCTACAATGTGGTCTAATAATCTAAATAAACATTATACAATGCTTTATTTCGATTAATTTTTGAGTATCAGTGTTATACATCTACAATGTGGTCTAATAATCTAAACAAACACTATACAGTGTTTTATGTCGATGAATTTCTCATTTGTATCCATCTACAATGTTGTCTGTAACAATGTAAATTTGCATAAACACCCGCAGTCCAATAAGAGCAGCAGGGCAGCGCATAGAAACGAGAAACTGAATCTCGCTAATTTTTTTACTTATATACCGAGTCTCACCATGCATAGAGATCATTCTCACCGGCACCTGTTCCGTTTCACTTTGTTACCATATTGTGTATTATGCCCCCACTACTCTGTTCGCGAACTCGAAGCGCATGGAACTCGAGAAACTTGTCACGCGGGGTGAAATTTTCTCCTAAATTTTTATTAGAATAGAACACCGACTTTTTCTATGTATACAATAGTGTCCCGTGTTCGCTCGAACCGACCGCGTGTTTCGACGAATTAACGAGAAAAAAAGGAAAAGAAAAAAAAAAGGAACAAGAGAAGCTGATCGATTACGAATCAACAGCCTGGAATTTGGAACGATGAAAACACGATATAAAAGGGCAGTGTAATGAGACACTGCTGTTGGTTACGGCGAAATATGAGAGACGAATCGAGTCGCTTTTCTGTCGGAGTGTTACTGTTTCTACCTGTGAATGTGCTACTGAGCGATACTTTCGTTTTTCTTTTCTTTTCTTTTTTTTTTTTTTAGAAACAGACGTAGGTTTTATTGTATCATATATGTGTACATATACTTATATACATATACATATCTATATATTGATACGATTTATTGATGATTTAGGTGGACTCACCCTCCTGAGAAACAATTTAGAAATGGATTGATACTCCTACCATGGGTTCGACTACCTGTTAATTGAGTAATTTTATTGATCGTTGGACTGCTGATATTTATGCAGATTTACGTTTTCATAGGCTACGTTTTAGAAAGTGAAATTTCTTCCTTTACGTATGGCTTCAGTTGATTAAAACCGATATCTGATTGCATTCTGTACATACAGGGTGTCCTAGTATTGATGGTACAACTGGGAAGAGGGTGATTCTGCAGGAGAAAATAAATCGAAAATATGGAATAAAATTCTTTTATTTCAGACTTTGTTGTTGAGAAAATCGACTTTGAAAATCTACTGGATACGCATGCAATTGAATAAGACTTGACTAACGTGTCTGTTCACTGCATTCAGTTTCTACTTACTACCATGACGAATATACGTGTTACAGATGAATCTTCAAATTCGATTTTCTTGAAAATTAAGCCTCTGATGTCAAAATTTTATTCTACATTTTCGACTTATTTTCTCATGTAAAATCATCCCTCCCCGGTTGTACCATTGATACTGGGACACCCTTATGTATATTTTATTGTATTTTTTTAATGCATTGAATTCTATTGATATGTATATTTTGTTATATTATGAGTACTCTTATGAACTATCATTGCATTAAATTCTATAAATATGTGTATTTCGTTATATTTTGAGTACTCTTTTGAACTTTTACTCTGCTGAAAAGCAGGAATTAGGGAGATTTTATTAAGGGTTCTGAGAGTTTAAAAGTAAAACAAAAATTTCTTTCAACTTTTACACTGACAAAAACGTAATTGCACAATGAATAACAAGAGCAATCCCTCAAACAAATAGATAAAAGAAGAACCATGAGAGTACGTAGGAAAAATGTATAAACGACAAATTTATTTACTCTTTTCCTCAATTAACAGGTCGATAATAAATCACTTCCACTTAAAAGGCCAACAAGTTCGCAAAAAGAATAGATTGTTTCTCGAAAGAATTCCGAAAAGGGAAACTCTTATACAGATAAACCTAAGTAAAAATACGATTCTGTAAATACGAAGATAAGAATTAAGAGTTCCCCTTTCCCCTTCTCCGCAGAAAGAATTGGTTTAAAGTCGATCGAATGCAGTCACTTAACAACCAGTCTCCGAATAACGTAGATCACAGAGTCTCTCGTTACATAATAGCAACTAGTGATGCATGATGTCGTTGTTCTCAAGTTAGTCAAGCATGCGTTACGAGAAAATAGTATTCGAACATTATTCGAATAATAGCAAAAAAAAAAAAGAAAAAAAAAAGAAACGAAGAATCCATTGAAGACACCAATTGACTTTAAACCAATCACTTTCGTCAGTGTACCTCTAACAAATTCACGATGCACGTTTGTATTATGAGACACTAACACCTTGTTCGTTTCAGAATATTCTCGTTGCATTCGATAAATCGATAGAATCATCCGTGCATTTTGGATTTGTATCGAAATGGCGAGTTAAAGAAAATGGTTCCACCCCTGTTCGATCAGGGGAAAAAGAATAAATTTAAACAGTTGTCGAAACAGAACGAAGAATTAATTTTTGGGTCGTGATTTTTTTTTTGTAAATATTAATAATCGATGTTGATAACAATCGGTCACATGTGATCTGTACATAAATTTCCGATTATCCATCGTTACAGCTTGTAAACATTGTGTTGTTAAGAGACACAAAGTTAAAATCTGGCTCGCCATTCAGAGGGAGAAGAGAAACGTAGCGTTTTAATGAATCGACGAGATGTTAATGGGAGTACGGTGTAATCAGTACGTCTATCTCCTTTCAGCGAGACCAACTTTCCTGAATCTGAACCTGAATCTCAACTCATTGACACGTCTGCAACAATCCACCTCTGCCAAGTGTAGGTGACACTCGCTGTTGGACGCTCTTTCAGACTTAAAAAGAGACCGTGAAAAGTTCACGAGAAGGATAATCAGTCTTTTCAGGATTCTCTGTGTATCGTGAACTTTTATTCTCGAAAATTCGGAGATGATTTTATGGTGCAGATAAACCTTCTTCGTTGAGTAATTATATAGGGTTTTTCAATCCTTTGCTGCATAGTGGTTTAGAGTTTTTAATACTGTTATTAGACGTGTTTTAAATCATTATTGCATCGTAGTAATTAGTTGTTTTCATTTTAACTGCATTTCGAGCAGTATTGCAGTTTAATTAGAAGGAGGCAAAATTTTTCATGGTAATGATTTGTCATTAGTATCGGAGTTTTTAGTCGATAGTTGTGGAAAAGTGATTACTTATTTAGTCTTTTAGTTATTACTAATTAACTGTATAATCAGTTACTTAGTTAATTAGTCATGAAAATTATTGGTTCAATTAAGTTAAAATAAAATCCCATCACTAATTTTCAATTGAAATTAGTCTCCAATGGATGATAATTGTAAATATCAGACAATCTAGAATATCGTACGTTGTAATATTTTATTTCTGATAGGAATACTCGATTACTCGAATTATACTTTACCAATTAAATTATCTGTAATACAGCCAGAAAAAACATCCAATAAAAATGATTGGGTGAACACTAATCCCAGGATGAATACAATTTTCTAATTAAAGGAATATTCAAACACAACGAAAAAGGAACTCGCAATAACACAACATCTCCTAAAAAAAATCAGAAAAATTCTGAACGATTAATATCTGTGATTAAGAATATTAACATCTGAAAGTTTGAAAGAGTCCAGTCGATCATTCTCGTAGTGAATTAGTAGACTCTTTTGGTTTCCTTACTCCTTAGTTTCGACCATTATGTAGTTCTAGCTATAAATACACCGTTAAAAAAACCGTAACTCGTTTTTCTTTCTTTCTTAACTATTCTTGTATTTTTCTTTTTTTTGTTTGTTACTTGAAAAACATCGTAGTTTACTGTCGTTCATTGGAACCGCTGGCACACTGCGCGAACCAAGCGCGCAGTGCGTAGCTCCATATGTGTTCGATGTTCTTATCGCTTACGATTTAATTGGTATACACCTATATACGGCTCTGTTTTATGTTTTTAATTGAGGCTGCCCTAATATTCCACGTATGCGCTTCCTCTGCCGACCCCCTTGACACTTTTAATGCAATAACACTGGCTCGCATACTGAATAAGACGAAACCTTTTTAATCTACACACCGTAGACACGAACCATGTAAAATAATAGCAGACGAGAGTGCCCCTGGAAAAAGAATCCATTCAATCGCACGAGTTCGAGATATCTTCGATTAATACGATACGGGGTGTTCGGTTGACTTGTGGTACGATCGAGATGATTTTATGCACAGAAACCAGTCGAAAAATGTCGAATCATGTGTTCTTGTACGAAGCTTCGTTTTCGAGAAAATGAAATTTGAAAGTAGGGTGGAGAAACTACTGGTATGTCTGACAAATGCAAGATGTTTCTACTTGTTAAATGTTTATGTGTATGGTATCTATTTCCTGATGATTTTATTTTAAAAGGATTGAAAGTATACCTTAAATCATTGAGGAAAATTAATATCATATCACTGATAATTATTTGAAGCATTGGTGCAAGTAGAAATAACCAGTAATGGTCAGACATATGAGGTTGTGATAGTGAAACAGACCTGGGCATAAATTGTTGAGGTAATAATTTAATTAATTAGATGAATTGTTCAGATATACAATAAGAAACAATGTTTCAAACATGACAAATTGTCTTCGAATAATTTTGCATTTATTCTAACAGCAAAAAATTTGTAATGTGAAGTTTAATATTATATGATAAGATTTTAGAAGTTAAATAATACACTAATTCAGAAATAAATAACTTCATTCATGAAACAAGCCAATTCATTCTTTTAATGATGACTTAAAAATAGCATTAATAAAAAAAATCTTGGTCTGTAGTCACGTGTACATGTATCAAAGAACATTTCAAATTTGATTGCTTCGAGAAATAATCCTCGAACGAACAGACTTTATTCCATATTTTGAATTCGTTTTTATATGTATATAGAATCGTTTGTTCCTCGGTTGGACTAACTATTTCAGTGCACCCTGTACAATTACGGGGAGAAACAGTCGGATACGTGGAATATATTCTTCTCAGTTTTATTTTTTTTTATTCTTAGGAAACAGCATGGGTCCTCCTTTGTTCGATATTCTTTGTAATCACAAATGTGTATCAGAACCGACCTGGCACCTTTTAATGTTCTCAGCTCATCGACCCGATTACGTAGAATTGTATGTATGTCAGAAAAAGCCCACGAAGAGAAACAAATAATCATGACTAATTACAAACAAAACAAAATCGATATCGAAGGAGTTCCTCGAGCGTGGCCAGATCGGCCCTGATATCCAGAAGCAATATCACACAGCGACCACCCGGCTGTAGTCACGAGCGTGTCTGGTAATTGAATTTCATTCGTTTTAGCATCTCCGAACATGGTCGGTAGTAAAATGGGTCTACGGATGACCACGTTACACGAGGAAACGTCGAACGTCGGGAATCAGCTGCCCTCGCCCATCAACGACGAGGACGAGGAGAAGAGCGACGCTGATTACTCCGAATACGATTCGTATCAGGTAGCACACCTTCTAATGCTGTAATTATCACTGTAGAAATAGAACGACGAATATGTGGGATTGGTACTCGCTTGGATAAAGTATTGTTAAATAAACGATCGTGGAACAGAGTACAAAAAAGTCGCTGTAACTGCGCCCAAAGTAAAGTCGCTTTAACTGCGCGCACGGCCTCTACGGTAACTGTCCGCGCGTTATCCCAACCACTGGGAGGATCTCTCTTGAAACCAGTCAGAATAATGATAGTTCATGCTTACTGCGCGTATGTGGTCCCATGTTCGCGCAGTTAAGGCGACTTTAATATACTTGCTAATTTGTGAGAAAATATTATACAAAAGAAGGCATTTTTTGTCTTAATACATCCTAAATTATTAGGTATAAATTTGTAAAAAAATAAAGGACATTTTGTTTTAAAATATTGTAAATTATTGGGGTATATAAACAAGTAAGCCATGATATTTTGTCAAATTCAATACCTATTTTCGAGGAAATCAAAAACCTGTGCCGTTTCAGTGATATTCGTTCTCGATCTTCAACATTCGCAGCCATTTCGAAAAAAGCAAAGGTTGGAAAGATGTTTTGAATTTAAACAACATTGCTAATATATTAAAAATAAATAATGGATTACTTAATAGTATACCTAATAGAAACAGTCGTTACGAATCATATCCAATCGTGTACCAATCGTCGAAACCGATTCACAATCCTCTCGAAAGTCACGCCGATTCGATTAAATCGGCTTAGCCACATAATGGCAATCCTTCGAGCACAATAAACGTTCCTAATGAAACACCAGTGTTCGATAATTGGAACGCTTCTCATTGGTCAGACAATACTCAAAAGCGTATCGCACACGATTACGTTCAGGCAACGGCGAAACCAGTAAAACCACTAACTTCTTCACGCACTCTGGATTCTCTCGTCGAACTTCAATCGACGAAGATCAACACGCCGAGCATGAGCAGCAGCGGTTACGGTTCCCAAGCCGTGTCCACGACAAATCTGACGTCGGAGGACTCGTTGTCGGTGAAATCGATCAGCGTGGACGAGACGCCGGATTTGGAGTATCGGAATCTGTTGGACAGCAAGAAGCCGGAACGGATGGATAGCTCTTTAGTGGAGGAAACGCCGGAGGAGTATATGGGCGAGGTCACCGCGACGTTGGACAACTTGAACGTGATGGGAAACAATTGCACCGAGGGTTAGTACACCATTTGTACCCTAATATTTATGTCTTGGGACTCTATTCAACTTTGGTGTTGGAGCAAGAGCAGTCTTCTGTTGAACGAATGAAACTGGAGACAATTATACAGGGTGAACCACGAATCGTAATCAATAGAGATTACTTTTTTATTGGCAGTCTAATCGAAAATGTTTTTATCAGGTATAGCATGGATTTAAGAGAGTTTTACGTGATTATAACAAATTTTTTGTAAACTCTTTTTTTCATGATTTTTCAAGGTCACCTTCAATTTTCTTTCAAAAATTCGATTAAAAATATAAGTAACACATGTTATGTTATGATACTTACCGAATTCGTCTTGAAAACCTCTAACAGATAGACGTAAAAAAATTATAGGTGTATTTGCAAAAAATTGAAGATGACCTTGAAAAATTATGAAAAAAAAAAAATGACAAAAATATTTGCTATAATCACGTTACAGATCTCTTGAAATTATGCTATACCTGATAAAAATATTTTCGATTGGACTGCCAATAACAGAGTAGTCTCTACTGATCAGGATTCGTGGTTCACCCTGTATAGTGTAACTATGTCTACATTCATAGATTAGACCATTATGAGCCTTCTGCTCGGTAGAGTAGGGGATGATGCCTAAGTTCTAGATCTTAGCTTGAACATTAATGACTTATGTACTCTCTAGTAGCTCATGTATCCTCATATGGGACTTCAGTCGCTCAATATTGGCTGGTAGCTCTTCTGTTAGGTTCTAGCTGGACATTGGTTGATGACTTCAAGATTGTTTTTTGTGGATGTATGATTAGAGGTCCAAAATTAACTGTTACTCATGCAGCCGCAAAAGGAAGTGAAGACAATGGCACTGTGTGGCTGTGTCTCTACATTTACAGATTAATCCACCATTGATGTTGATTGTTATTTGATAGAATAGAAGATGGTGCTTAAGTTCTGAAGCTTAGCTTGAACATCACTGATTTGTGAAGTCTCTGGTAACTAATAGATCCTCATATGGGATTTCTGTCGTTTAATATTGGCTGTTAGCTCTTCTGTTAGGTCTTAGCTGGACTTTGGTTGATGACTTCAAGATTTTTATTTGTAGAAAAATGATGGAAGATCCAAAATTAACTGTTTATCATTCAGTCACATGTTTACACCTTTCGAATGAAGTTGGTGTCATAGTGTAATAGAATTTGGGTTCAAAGTTAATTCCAGTGGGTCTGGCTACAATTTGAATCAAGGTGTCGACATCTTTAGAGTCACGTGTGGGCCTAACGAGCATGAGTAGAACGTTTCAATCAGCGATGGACCTATTTGAAACGTTTATAAGTGTGATTGCGTGGTCAAAATACAGCCTTGGACCACTCAGTATGCAATGATGAACTTCATACGGTGGATGAACTTTATGTTAATACTGTCTTTTGTGCTTCAGAACATACCAGGAAGAATTTAGAGGAAACAGGCGCCTACGTGGACGCCGAAATCGACAGTCCGGTTTCTTCGACGAAAAGCGACAGCGACGCGAACAGTAATACTACTCAACTGAGCATCGTGCAGAAGAAGGATGCACCGAGTCATGTTGTGAGCAACCGAAGGAGAAACGACATGGAGATTAGTCAGACCTCGAATTCGGGAGAGGACAGCCCCTTGGAGGGTAGCTCGGTTGTCCACACGAAATTGCCACCGGGCAAGGTAATCGTCAATTATGCATGAAGTTATTATTATTAATTAGAACACAAATTTCTTTTCTGCAAATATAATTTACTACGACTACTTTCTAACTGATAAATATCGACCGCTTCTGCAATCAGTATAGAATACTTTGCAGTTTGAAGAGACTGAATCGACTGCAATTATCTTTATGAACATACAGAATACGTTTAAAGTTCTGAAAATTTAAATACTTAAAGAATTATTAAATGATATAATATTTGGAAGATTTAGAATTTCGATGTTTGAAAGATTTGGAATTCCAATATTAGGAGGACCCGAAATTTCAATATTTGGCAGATTTGGAATTCTAATATTTAGAGGATTTGAAATTTCAATGTTTCTTGGACTTGGAATTTCAATATTTGGAAAATTTAGAATTCCAGCATTTGGAAGATTTGGAATTTCAATATTTGGGGGATTTGCAATTCCAGTATTTGGAGGATTTAGAACTCAAGTAATTGGAAGATTTGAAATTCCACTAGTTGGAAGATTTGGAATTCCAATATTTAGAAGATTTGGAATTCCAATATTTTGAAGATTTGGAATTCCAATATTTAGAGGATTTGGAATTCCAATGTTTAATGGACTTGGAATGTCAATATTTGAGAAGATTTGGAATTTTCGTGTCTGAATTCTAATATTTGGAAGATCATAGAACTACCAACACTTTATTGGTCACACATAGGTGGTGCGACGAAGAAAAGTGTCTGCGAGTACAGGAAGGCCTACCAGTTCTCAGCACAGGGCATCATTCCCCATGGTCCGTCCACAGCTCTCCGAGAGCAAAGCTGCAGCAAGACTGGAACAATCGATGCAACCCAATATGCCCTACGAAAACGGTGACAACAGCTCCTCCGAACGAATCGATGGTACGCGACTTATTAAATTCTTTGATATTTTCATTTTAAAATCTACTACTAAATGAAATATGAAAACTTGAACAAATTGAAATATCATGGATACCGTTGAAGGTCTAGTAATAGAGGATGCATTAGGATTATAAGAACAGTACGATCCAAATTCTAATTATTTTGTATCTTCTGTTAGCAGACGATGTGAGCGACAAAAGTTCAGCTTTCGGTTCGAGACACGACTTAAGCAGAGTCGAGACACCGCTCCCAGACTGGGTTTTAGTTGGTGAATCGGTATTGGTACGTCCGTACAGCTATTCCGGTGTCATAGCGTATGTTGGCCCGACAGAATTCGCTTCTGGGACGTGGATAGGCGTAGAACTCGACGCCCCGACTGGTAAAATTCCATTATCCACAATTCTAAATTTTAATATTGATTTTAGTATTGAATCGAGAACTCATTTCTCTAAAGTAGATCTGATATAATGTTTTAATGATTGGATTATCGAATGAAAATGTGTTCGATTGTTACACAGGTAAAAACGATGGTGCTGTAAACGGCCATAGGTACTTCACGTGTCGACCGAAATGCGGGATATTCGTAAAAGTGGACAAACTAATTCAAGACAAACGTGGCAGAGCACTTAGGAACTACACTATCACCCTCCCTCAGTCAACTGCACCGATGCGCAGAAGCGTTAGCAGAGGTACAAAATTATATTAAAATTATAACATTTAAACAATTTCTTGCATGATAATGCCAAACTTCAATGTTTACTATAATTTAAAGTGACCAACGAATGGGACAAGTTACCATAAATGTGATCGAGAACATTCTTGTGTTAAAAGACCGATTTTTCACCAATTAAGACTAATATATCATTTTATATTAGTTTCAATACCTAAAGATTGTTCTCACCTAATGTTAATACAACGCCCTTAGTAAAAAAATGCCTCAATAGAATCCACGAACGTTTCATGTTGAATCGAGTGAATCTATGTAGGGTGTCTAGAAAAGAATTGTCCTGAAGAGAAATTCTCGAAGACGTAAAATGAAGTTGAAGTGTCCTGATTGAAATCATACGAGAAAGCACATATCAAGCGAGATTGTAGATGTTAAATAAGGTGTCCAAAACATCAGTATAATTGCAATTAATAATGAAAGAATCCACGTATTGTTAACACTTAACTACAAACCAGTCGTCTTGGCCAATACTCTGAATTTTTAAAAACCTGGTATTTTTGTGGTAATTAAAGGTTGCTGGACGCGATGCTGGCTTTAGTTTTTCCCCCATGCGTCACAAAATCTAGCTGTTTAAATATAAACTTAGTGTTCAGTTTGACTTATTCCTTGAATTATTCACCTAATACAATTTCTTCAATTTTATTGTATCTAACAAATAATAATAAAAATAATAATGAATTTAAGTAAAATATAAATGTAGGATGCAAATAGTCGTTCAAAAGTAGGAACTACATGTCTTCTACAGCTCCATATTTACAATTAAATTGAGCAAAGAATCCTTAAATACAGGATCAAAAGTGAGATTACTATTGTATTCAGCAATTCGAATTGAAGTAAATAAAACGACTTTTAAAGATTTAAAACTTTTGTTGAATAATATATAGTCAGAGCCTAAAAATCTTGATTTTTCCAGGCGAGGGTCTACATTCCTTGCACCGAAGTCGGAGCCGGGGGGAAGGTCTCTCAACAACAGGCACACGGTCCTCGCCGCGGGGCAAGTAAAAACCGGGGGATGATCTCACACGACACGCGACTCGCTTCACCTAAAACTTCGTTCTTCTAAATAAGCCACTAAAGAAAAAAAAAAATATCCTAAACTCGCTACATGCCTATCGATAAATGATGTAGCACAGCAGTGTTTCAGTCCCTTAGACGTTAGGGCAGCTATGGATTATTAATACTTCTAAATATTACTTGAAATATTAGGTCATTTAATGTGTATCACACAAACAAAAACAGAGCAGAATCGCGGACACAATCCACGCGCGCGTGCGCGTCATCAGCGTGTCCGTGTCTCGCGCGGTTTCAGTAGAGAGTAGCCAAGAGAGAACAGAGAGAAGTAAAACACACATACACAAAGGAAGAAAAGAAACGATCGTCGATACCATATATTATGTAGTTGGTCTGTTATTTTCTTATTTTTCGTGTGTATCAAGAGTGAGAAAGAGAAAGAGAGAGAGAGAGAGAGAGAGAGAGAGAGAGAGAGAGAGAGAGAGAGAGAGAGACATAGTCAACGACGATGATTTCAAGCGAGATTCTATTAAGCATTCCACACGATTCGAACTTTTACGACTTGGGACGACGAAACCGTTTCACGTCAGACACGAGAGGAATGACATCGTGTTTCTTCCCCTCTCTCTGGACGGTTCGTGCGATCCAATGAATTGTACATTGTCCAAAAAAAGGCTATCGATGTAAGAAGAGCTGGAGACAAAAGAGAACGAAAAACGAAAGATCGAATATTCGACAATTATATGTGTCCCGGCACCTCCCCTGACCTTGACCGATTCGTCAAGGATGTCCCGAGCAATTCCATAACGGTTCAAGCATCCGATCTACGAGAGATCCATATGCTCGTAATAACCGTACACACACACATGTACACACACACACGTAATACACACATATTAAAAAAATTGTAATAATAATAATAAACACACTCTCCAATATTACCACCAGGTGGTAATTTTTATCATCGGGAGATGTGCCCCTAGGAAAAACCATCAAGATGGACGCGAGAACACGCCCAAAAATATCCTTTGAATAATATTTACCGCGTTGTGTAGATTATTTAAAGATTTTATATGTATACAATTGTTTCATATATTGTATTTTTTTAGCGCAATCTGTTAAGTTCCTTTGTAATTGTAACATAGATATCCCCCATGGTTCCGCGCGCAACCGGAACCCACCACCACGTTTAATGTACGTACCGTCGGCCATAGAGAACTTTTTTGACTTTTCCCGTTTTGTTTTTCTTTTCTTTCTTTCTTTTCGTTCGTACAACGCCGTGCCGTTTTATTCTCACCTGTTTTTTCGCACGTTCGTTTCTTTTCCGTGTCGTCGTAGCCACATACGTACGCACGCGTCCTTAGATTTTTAACTACGGATCGACGAACCCTCTCGATGCGCCTTTCAACCGGCTGGACAGAAGACGACAACGGGATCTCGAACGTTTTTCGTCTCAACGCGCGGTTGGTTGGTCATCTACGTCGCGAAAATGGCCAGGAAAATTTGGAACATAAGTAACATTTTTATCGTTGGGAGACAATCGCGAGTCACACACCTTGATCACTGTATTTAATTGATTTGTCTCGCACCTGCTTCTCGTGCTGAAGCAGAGGTTTGCCCCACCACGACAAAATTTGTTATATATAATAGATTATTATTAATATATTATAATATTTATAATATATTATTATTAATATTATTATATTAATATATTATTATTATTATTAACGCTATGACGATCAGCTAGTTTCATGAGTAATTTTCACCAGTGCCAGGTTATTTTTGTTAAGAATTAACAAAATATGGTTTTTGTTATGTACGTAAAAAAATTTAAGAAATTTTGAATATCTGAAAAGTATCAGTTGACAGTCATATGATGCCACTGTGGCGTTATCGGTTGTCACAGTGTTAATACATTATTAACATATTATTATATTAATGTATTATCATAATTAACACTATAACGAGTGATTAATTTTGCGAGTAACCTTCACCAGTATCGGCTGTTTTGCGTCAAGAATCGGCAGAATATAATTTTTACTAAGTATTTAACAAGAAATTCAATAAATTTAAATATCTGAAAAGTACTAGATTACACATGACGCCAGTATTGCGTCATCGGTCGTCGTAGCGTCAATATATCATTATTAATACATTATATATATATAAAAAATATATACATATGTATACAGTTTGTCGAACGTGCGTGTTGCACAATACGAAAGCTGGCATTGGCCTTCGGCTAAATGTCGTCTAGTTAATGATTCGCGGCAGGCCAATACGTTCTTTTCCGGAATGCAACGCGCGTGGTGTTACGCAGAGTGGCGATACTAGGTTCGTAAAGTCCTTCTTTCTGCACCTGTTATTTTGTATTTTATCTTTTTTCCCCTTCTGTAGGTTAGTAGAGAATGACGAGCCAAAACGAGCCTCGTTGACAGTCATCACTCGCGAGTGACCGTTTGATGTTGATTTTTCAATGTTGAAACACTATTCAACAAATTTTAACATTCTGTCGATTTTATAACCATTCAACAGGCCTTTCTGGTTAATCTTTATGAATTGAATAGATAGGTGCAAAATGTTGTTCCAAAGACGTACAGTTTTTTAAAAAATCAATTTCAACCCTCTCACTACCCACAAGCCGAAATGCAAATGATAATTTTTTTTATTGGTTCTATCCAGTCTTTCAAAAACCAAGTTCATAGTGTCTTGTAATTATCAATTTGATTTTCTCTTTGTAATTACCATTTTGTTTTTCTCTTTTATATTCTCCAGTTGTATGTTTCATTTAGTTTTAATATTCATCCGATTTATATCTTATATAAAAATGTTTACATTTTTTTTTCTAGTATTCTAATGGGAATTAACCCGTAAATAATTAAATAAATAAATAAATTCTGGTATAGAAAGCTTAATACTTCCAACATTTTGTATTCAATACAAAATACTCTTCACTATAAAATACAAAATAAAAATTTAAAGTTATCTTTATATTTAGAAAAAATATGTTAATTTTGATAAATATCTTAAAGAATGCATATATTCCAAGGTATTTCGAGATGGTATAGAGAAGAATTGTGAGGTACCCAAAGGTATTTTAAAGTAGTTACAAATTTGCCAACTTTGGAAGTGTTTTGTGCTCAAAGCATTGCCACAGAATATTTCCAAAGTTGAAAATATGCAATCTTTATAAAAAATGATTTTCTTCTCAACTATGCGTTCTGAAAAAAAACAGTTTGCAGATTCCTATTCAGTTCATAAAAATCTATAACAGGGACCCATTGAACGTTGCAAAATTTTGTACCTGTTGAACACAGGTGTAATAATCCATGTCACGGTAGAACCGCGACCAAGAGACTCGATAATAGGCGTATTTATGTATACACGTTGCATTTCGTATGCAATCATGGCTCGATCATGGCTGATCGGTTTCGTTTTCCTGGACCTAAAACGTGTCCTCTGATACACACCACACGCGAGACGAAAACGTCCGAGCTAATCCGGCGACGTATCGGTCCGGGTACCGAAAGAAAATCAAACGACGAGAAGAATATTTTTTTGTAATCCGTGTAAAACGTGTCGGGTGTACACGACACGGCGGAGGAAGCAATGAAAGGATACGACGAGCGATTATCTGGATTGTAAATCGGGGGAAATTTCGCCCTAAAAGGGAAGAGAAAAAAAAAATAAATTGTGAACCACGAGCACACACACAACCAACTTCTGTCCAATTAGAACAATACTATAAAAAAAAAAAAGAAAAAAAGAAAAACGGTACCGATAACGAACGTATGTTACTTGTACGTAAATATTTATTGAATATTAAAATAATGAAAACTCGCCTGCTCCGCGAGGTTTTTCTTCTGGTTCGTTTCGGACGAACGTTCGGAGAATTATTCGTGGTGTGAAAATGTATGTACACACGAAGCACCGTTGTTCCCGAACGAAGAAAAAGGAAAACGTCGCGACATGGAGGCCCTCTGTCCATTTTTTGGTAAATCAAGATTAATTAAACGATGAAAGAAAATCTTTAAGACTCACCGATGTCACAGTGATGATGCTACATGCCTGCCCGGCATAATGGTTAAATAAAATTTTCATTTCAGACACGATGTGTTCACCTTGTTTTCTTATATTTTTTTTTGTACTTTTGGTTCCAATTGTGTCGTCTTGAACGGACCCGCTTCAGTTCCATCTTTACATCCTTTTCTTTTTATTGAATGTTCCAACCTAAACAGAGAGTAACTTTTATTTAACATTTATTTTTTAATACAGATTTTGTGATGGTTTTATTGATTCGATTGGAATTCTCTTATTTTACTTTTTTATTTTTCTTTTTCGTAAACCACAGAGCGGAGCATCTAGCATTGACGGAGCTTACACAGCCTATTCCATCCGACGATAAGACAATGTCCATTTTTATCGTTACAATTATCTACTGATAAAATCGTTCGCAACAAACAAAAAAAAAAAAGAAAAACTATACTTTGTACCCTATAACGGATTCTAGAATAATATTTTCGACCAATCGGTTTTACGAAATGTCTCTGGAAGACTTCCGAGTTTAACGTTATTCCACATACAATTGCTGCACCACACACACACAAACACACACACACACACGGTCCATGTTCCCAGAGAGAACAGAGCGAAAAGACGAAAGACACGAATCGCACGGGTCCATTTTTTCTCAGACGTGTGTATACACACCGAGAGAGACACGCTACTGTAAATCTAACCGATTCTCCTAACTAAGGCTGTGAAACTTGATCTTTTGCTACCTTTACGCTGCTCCCTCGTTTTTCTATCCTCGCACCGCTACCCCACTTTTCTATCCCGATTGAGTATTTTTAGGGGATCGTGACGGAAACGGGACTTCTTAAACAATTCAGCCTTCTAGATGAAAAAAAAAAAAGAATTTTACGAACTTATTTAACCCTTTGACTACTGTCTTATTGGCAATCGATGGTAATCGATCCTAGCTGAATAATCTCAACGCATTAATATTTTTAACCGATGACCCCTATGGACATCAATAGTGGGGTTCATAAGGCCTTTTTTATTTATTTATTTCGTCAACATAGAATATAAAATATTGAATAAAAAAGTGATTCGGTTAATTTTATACAATTCACGAGTGGAAATCTAAACCAAGAAAGTTTGATTGCTGCTGAATATTTCCAGGCACACGCGCACTTTGTTTCCAAGTATCTAACAGTCAAAGGGTTAAAATATGGAACGTGTGTTGCTTTGTTTTTTAATGTGCTAATAAAGCTTTCTGAAGGCTTGAAGATATAAAAACCACTTTGAGTGATGCTGATAATTTGTATCTGTTTAATGTGCAGTCGTTCCAGACTTAAGAATTATTTTAAAACAGACAATTAAAGGATGGATTATAGTACTTTATGACGAGTAATTTCTAAGCAATCGTTACGTT